AATATATTGATTTTGCATAAAAAAATTTGATATTTGATAAGAATATTTATCAGAATACATTTTCAAGTATAACAATAGTGAATGATAATGGACTAAAAAGAAGAAAAACTTCTGTTCTAATATAAAACAAAAATTATAGTTGCACTTGATACAAGAGACAATTTTCTTTAAATTAAAGACTCTCCATGTTTTTAAGTAATTAGAAATGATGATCAAATGATTTATTATTGTTTTGGATGATAAATAAATATTATCTTACTCAATAATGAAAATAATATTTCTATTAAAGCAATATTCCTTTAATTAATGGATTCCATACAAAAACTAGTTTGAGAAATCGGATCATTAAAAGTTTTATTCTCTAATGGAAGTTTATCTGTATTTAATCAATTATAATTAAGATTTTTCTTTCTCTTACATTCATTAATTCATTTATTTCTTTCTTGAAAGAATAAACACTAAACTCTTCGAGTATTTTCCTTTTGAATAGAATAGAAAAGTCATAATGAGAATTTTTATGATCTGAAAAGATCAGCGAAATCTATTAAAATCATTATCTAATGATATGAAATAAGACGTTCCAAGACTCACAAGTCTGTCTATATGTGTTCTCGGTGATGAAAATTTAGGCAATTAATATTTAGTTAAGCTTTTACAATAGAGTGTACAATTGATCTATTGATTTTCATTGACTATGTTCCAGTCAAAGAAATCCTACTTCTTAAGATCATCTCAAATTCTCATCACGACCGTTTAGATTCCGTTTTCTGCGTAGAATTCGTTGGGGAATTAAGTGAAAAAAAGTTTTGTAAATTGACTGCAATTTTATATATGGACCTAAAAACGTTCCAAGCGTATAACTTTTCTTACTTGTTTCTGCCATAAGCTTAATATTGAGTAGTAACATCAACGGGGGGTAAAAGGGTTTTATCGCAACAGGTGGTAGCATTACTCCTCCTCCTTCTCTATACTTCTCATGCTCTCTACTAACTTGCGCTCCACGGCCGGCTTAAGAAGCTATCCAGTTGAAAGTCGCATGCACATAGAAAATTATTAGATCGTTATTCAGTTTCATCTATTTAGTGTTCACAGCTGCTTTCTGATTGTATTTGTTATTTTTTTTTAACTGCGAAAAAGCTCTTCATGCATATTTATCTGATTGGGCGATAAAAATGTTATAATTGCACTTCTAATGAATATTTATTATCCTTGATCCGTAAAGTTTCCAAAAATTCGTTCGAATGATTCACAAAATATATTTTGTTGAAATTTTTTCTGAATAGAAGAATTATTTTATATTTCAGCTTTTGATACATTTTCATTCTTTGAAATATTCAGAATCACATACAATTGAAATGTATGTAATTTTTATAATTTTTTAAACAGATTTTTTGTTTAAAAGAACTGAGGATTATTTTACCTCAGTTTTAGCTTTTAAAAAATTCAATTTATACTTTATTTTACTCATGTATTCATTTTTCATGTTCTTTGAAATTATTTTTGTATTTAACCTTTACAATGAAAATGATCTCTACCGAGATCTCCGCTACTTCTATATATTTTTACTTTTTTTCAAAAATATAGTTATTAGATTTTTTATTAAAATCGGTCGAACATTATCAAAGAATCTTTATAAGAAAAAAAAAGTCAATCCAACAAGAAATGTTCAATATAAAAATTCTTTCAAATAAAAAAGAAATCTTTTATTATTTTAGATGTATTAAAAAAAAGTTTCCGTTAGTTTCTCACTTAAAAATTTATCATTTGAAGCAAAATAAATATTATCTATTAGATTTGAAATATGTGAAGCATAAAATTCTTTCTTCATGATAAAATGTGCTTTAATTGAAACCAAGCAACAAATTGAATAATATTATTATTCGAATTTATTCAATTCATAGTAAATTTTAAACATATTAAAGTAATATACCTATAATGATTTTATTCTCGAATTACCGAAAATTTTTTGTAAATAAATTTTAAGTAAATTATTTCATTTACTTGAAATTCAATAAGTTAAATTAGAAATCCAAGAATTAGAATTATCTCTATGTTGCATCATATTGAAATTTTCCTATAATATACTATTTTCTATAATAATATCTTCCAACAATAAAATGTTTTCCCGTATTAAAAAAAATGATGAAAATATGTTTTCAAATCATTTGAAAAAAAAACTAATATTTTTAGGTATTTTCTTTTTTCGTTAATAATAAATATTACAACCGCTAGTTATCCCAACCTAACAATTTTTTTAATTTAATAGAATATTTCCATTAAAATAATACAGATAGTAAAAAATGTAACTTCTAAACATAGAAAATAATAAAAATTGACTTATACAGCATCGATTTCGCTGTCATCAGTTAATCACTCTGGCTTTCTCTCTCTCTTTTTTTTTTCATACGGATAAATTTAATCTTGTATTCCTGAAAGAGATATGAAATATCGATGAAGGTACTTGCGAGAGTGGACGATGTGTCGATCGGGTCAGCAGCTAACTTTTTAGAGCGTAGAAAATTGTTTTCCTCTCATCGGCTTTACGCTTTTTCCCTTTCTTTCTCTTGTGTCGTAATTTTACCGTTTTTTTTCTCGCTTTTAGAAAAAATTGATGATCATTTAATCATATCACAACATCGTTATATCCACGTGTAGAATTGCACATTTATACGTTCGAAAACAGAAAATATGTATATCTGATCTTTTAACATACGTCGTCATAAATAAAAGCGAAAATTTCATTTTCCTTATTTGCCCCTGATGTATCATATGCATAAGGTTTCTCTATGTTCTTTTAATCATTTCAATCCTCGTTTCAAATTATTATGATAACAACATTGAAATTCAACCCTTCTGGTGTTCATATCATACTTCAAAACTTTATTTCACACTTTATTTGAGGAGCTTCAGTTATCATATCTGTGGTATTTAAATATTTTCCGAGATTTAAAAAAATTTCTTGTTGAAAAAATAAATCACTCTCTTATTCCAAAAAACTTTTTGTACACTTCAAAATCCGATGTATTTCTGTGGTTTATTAACGATACAAAAATAACAAATATTCTATTGTACGTCAATGAAATAAAATAAATTGTGTAATATAAAAAATACTCGACTATAAAACTCTTGAAATAAAGTTATAAAAAAGAGCTAACTTTAGAGATATTTTCTATCATAAACGATATTCAATTGTGACTAAAACTTCAATTAAATCTAAAAAGGATTAAAAATGAAGAGTAAAGTATTTACAATAATACTAGGTAGAAAAATTTTGTAAGTTTCCTAGTTATTCATTTCATCTAACTTTTTCTTGCTTAACTCACTATAACTGATTTTATATATAAATTCTTGAAAGACTTTTCCCTTTTCTGAGGACATATTACTATGTGTAAAATGTTTTAAGTATGTTACGTACGACGTATAACGATCACAACATAATAACAACTACACGTCAACATAAATAATAAGAATAATTTTGCTGGCTATAAATGTTTTTAGATTTTGCTTCGGTTCACAGGCGACGGGTTAGGTCATGTGACAATATGACATTATGTAGGCATAATGTTTTTTTTATCTACAATCAAAAGATAATGTCATAATGATAATTAATAACTACTATTTTGTCCAGTTAAATTGCATCTTAATTGTTTTAATTTATAGTAATAACTAAAGAAATTGTTACTTTTAATGATAAGTTAACAAAATATTAACCTCATTGCATTAAAATAATTCATGATTTACCTTTACCAAAATAGAACACTTTGTAAAGCTAGAATTTAAAAAAATAATAATAAAAGCAATAATGCTCAGTAAAATCAACAGCAAGAAAAAGATTCACTGGGCTTTTTTGTTTATTTTTATTTGTATGAGTTTTATTAAATGCACCAAAGTATTTGCTACACTTTTGAAAAATAATTTAATTTTTTGTATCAGTATTTTTTTTTTAATTTAATGCTCCGATAATGAATTAAATTGATTCAATTAAAGTAATAAAACTATTCTCAATGTGTTTTGAAAAAAAACTTTCGTTATATCTGTCACGATGATAATTATCGAAATTAAAATCAAAACCAATTAATTTCATTCCGATAATCAAATCAACTACATGTGAATATAGACTAATTAAAAATAATGAATTTTTGCCACAGTGAATTTTTGGTTATCAATGAAAATTGAAACAAAGCCAAATAATGCTAGAAACGTACTTTTCATGAAGAGAAAATTCCCAAAAAAAAAACGAACAAAAAATGTACATTGAAAATTCATCTTTTTTTTATTTAACATTCGCAATCATTCGGCATATTTCAAGACAATAATCATAGATTTTTGACGACTCAAACTATTTTTTTTTTAATATTGTACCATCAAAGAAAATAATTTACGTGTCACTGCATTCTATTTCAATATCTAATGAAAAAGAATGACTTCAACTTTGTTAAACTTTTCCTTGCTTCCCCATTTTTTTTCAATTTCTTACCCTCCTACATGAGATCATTTATAACTTATACATCGATACACTTAGACACTTATTACATATATTTTTCCAATTCATAATGCTCTCGATCTTGATGTATCTATATATCAATGAAAATTCTACAAGGTACTAATACAGCTCATGCTTTTTATCCTCATCATAATTATTAGTTATTACATAAAACATATGAATACGTTTAACATATAAACATTTTTGTTTGCAATTCATTTAGCACGTGTATCAACTTTAAATCCATCTCTATTTATCAGATATTTTGAGTAAATACTTTACTATCAGAATGAACAAATATTATTCTATACTTAATAAATTTAGTTGAACATTTATTGATTCAATAACTAGACATTTATTGTAAAATTTTTTGTTATCAAGGGAATCAATTATTTCAGCAAATAATAATAATTATTTTTTAGGGAATCGGGGGACAAATACAAGCAACATTATAGTAATAAAACAATGATAAAATATAATATTAATATATTTATAAAAAACAAATGAAATTACTCACAAATGTGTAGCGGGTATTGGTGGTAAAGACTGGTGTTCTCAGGCCAGTCTGACGGTCTCGTGAATACAGAGAGAAACTACTGGCGATGGAGTTTGAGAGAGAGAAGTCAAGGGAGTCAAGGTAGAAGCGCACGCGCCTCACTATTTCTTGCTTGTACCACTGCGGATACTCGATAAGAGGGAGGTAAAGAGAATGAGAAGGACCGAAATGAAGAAACCTGGAGTAGCGTGGGCCAAAGCGTTCTTGTGCGCTTAGCCTCTGGCATAAAAGCACTAAAGAAAAAATGAAATAAACTTGTATCTCTACGAAGAGACAGACAAGAGGATTTCGTGAAAACATAGTTAAGCTCTTTATTTAACATACTGCCTGTATTTCTCTCTAATCATTTTTTTGCTGTCACACTACGATGTTATTTTTGGTGATCAAATTGTCAGATATTTGCCAGATCGAAACAATGTTTTACTATTATTTATTTAGCATCGATTTACTCAAGTGTTATGATTATTAATCCAGTTAACCGCATGTTTGTAATTGCCTTGGAAACAATTCATTCCATTTTAATTAGTGGCTAATTCTATTCGGTTATCCAGAAGAAATTTATAAATTATTCAATTACTTTTTGTTTTTCAAAATAAAAATAAAATGATGTTAATTAATAAATAATTGAACATAAATAGCTGTAAAAAAAAAGTTAAAAATATGAGAATAGTGAAAAATTTGTTACTGAAATTAAACTCACCAGATATAGAAGTAAAATTTGATATAAAAAACTTTGTGAAATAGAAAAAAATAGAATTTTTTATTTGAAATTTATGTCTTCTTAACGTCTGAAAGCCTCACAATTGTCTACTGAATTTTTATAGTCTATTTAACCCTGTAATGCGCCTCGTGACATAATTGTCACATACGAGAAAAGAAAGAGAGTAAAAACTATATTTGTTTTTACTCTTTCTAAAATGGTATATGAACAAAGTTAATCAGTTTTATATTTGGAATTTTTTGTTTCAAATTGAAAACGTTCTTATTATTTGGTTTTTATTTTGAAACATTAAAAAATTTCACTTGATTATAAAAAAAAAATCTTACCTTTTTTTTAGAATACCAAAATCCTTTGGCCTACATTGATCAGGACAGTGGAGCAACGATTTGCTTGATGTAGTGTATTGTATCAATTAGTGAAAGTCTATTAAATTTGCATGACGATTACTGATAATCAAATAATATTAACAGCTAAAATTATACCGTATTAATTAAAAATAACTGGAAAAAGTATTAGCAATTTAAAAAATTATGCAATTGTTTAGATAGCAGATTTTTGCATAATTAAAAAAAAATCCAGTGCTAATACATTAAAATACTAAAAAATGAAATAGATATGATGAATAATGTTACTTCATTTTAAAACTAAAATGCAGTGCAGAAAACGTGAATTAATGAAACTGGTAATTATCTAAAACAAGCTGATAAATTAATAATCATAAGGTTTATTTATTATGTTTAATGAGAGAAAATATTTTTACCGTAAAAAATCTACTTTGTATTAACAATTAATCATCATAAAATATTAAAAAATTCTTAGTAGTTTTATTGAATAAAAAAATTCAATGTTGTTATGAATCTATTGCTTTAATTGAGCGTACGCTTTTGAATTCATTAGTAAAAATGATTCCTCAATTTATATTCATTTTTAATAAATAAATAAATATCACTCGATTGTAAAATAGAATATAAATATTCAAAAAAGTTTTTTTAATTTAAAAAATACTCAAGTACTTAAGTCAGTTTGGAATACAGTTTCCAAAGTTGAAAACAAATTGGAAGTAAAGATAAAACACAATGAAAATGTTTTATGTAAATATGTCATTTTAGTCAGCTAGGACGAGTACATATTGCACACCTTTGGCAAAGCTTGTTCTCGAGGTAGAGCCGCAGTTGATCCTCTCCCCGGGACTAGGTATTTGCCATAAGGACGACGAACTATTTGTATGCAAATGTGGCCGTGATTTGCGCGTCAAATTGAAAACCTTTGTAAGCACAATATTACTTTATCCATCTAAAACCGCAAAATCGATCAGGCTTTTATCCTTGACAACATTGACAATATCTTGGAGTTTATTTCATGGCTGATTTATAAGTATATAAACGGTTGCTATTACATTCAACAATTGACTCAGTAAAAAAGTTACTTCTTGGCTCAGCTTTGAATCATCAGGACGAGCAACTAATGTTCCATGTAACGTGAAGGTTGAACCACTATAAACATAAGTAAACTTACTTTTATTTTGATAAAAGAGTTGCAAACAATGTAATGACGTGTTTAATAAGATAAAAGAAAATATTAAAAAAAAAAAGTCGTGAAAGCTACGAAACAGTGTAAATATTTAATTGAGGTCCTTTCTGTGTGGTATTTGTGTAATATAAGCTTTTTTACTATTTGTAGCAGTGACCTAGAAGGAATAACGATTACCTGGAACTCATAAGGGATTTTAATAAGGAAACGAAGGCTTATTCATATTCTCACACAGGAAAGAGCGCGTGCGCTAGCGAGCCACCTGTAGCCCAGCTTCCGATCAATACATCATGAATATGATACATAGTTTTCTCGTAGAAGCAACAGTAGCCAAGAATTTTTTTTTTCTAACTTGAAGAATGTTGAATATTCAAATATTTCACCCAAATTGTTTTACCTTATTTTCTGAACGTAAATACAGAAATGAAATTAGTATGGAAATAAAAGAAAAAAATGAATGTAAAACAGGGTTGATTATCGATTAGACTTTAGTATTGATAAACATCCTAGGTATTTTTGAATTGAATCCAATATCCTGATGGTGTTGAACGCTTCGTTCATTTTACTACCTCATCAATTAATGATGAGAGACTGAATTAACTGGGGTATCAGCTGTTTTCACTTCAATTGACTTCTCCCCTATCACTTTAAGTTACTGCTCTTAACTCATGTGTTTTAGTATTTGTTTTACATTAAAAAAATAGTTACATCCCCCTATGGTTATTACAAAATTCATACAAGTGTGAAATACTTTAGAAGGTCAGATTTATTGATTCATTTACTTTCATGCAGAGCTGTTTCCATCATTTACAATTCAAATGTAAAAAGAAAATCATACAAACAATGATATTTATTTGCAATAAGTAAATTCTGACAAAAAATTTTCATAACAAAAGTTTGATTGTATTTTTTCAATTAAATGAAAAAAAGTATCAACCTGAAGGAAGAATTGAATTTTAGTAATTGAAATATTGATTGAAAATATAATTTAATGAGAATATTCATAAAAGTAAAACACTTTATTACTATTTATAATATTTATTGAAAAACTGCAATAATTTATTCATTCCATCTGTAAACAATGATTAATAAAAATCAATAAACCGATGGCCTTTATAAAAAAAGCTCGAGCGATGTAAAGGGTCCCTTAACAAGCTTTTTCTTATTACTATCTTTGATTACCATTAAAGCTGAATGAGTGAGTGTAACGAAATGATATATTCATAAAAAGATTTTGTAATAAAAATAATTTACATGGAGAGTACGTAAATAATCATCACACTATGACAGTTCATTTTTCTAATCACTATTACATTTATTTAATTAATTTAATAACAATAGCCGGTAAAATATTGGTAGAAAATAATATTAATAATAATACTAATTATAATGATAATAAAAATAGTAAATTTCATTTAATTCCTATATTAACTTTTTTTAATCACTTTCCATCATTGTATACGTTTTTATTTTTCGTTATAAATTTATAAACAAACATAAACAACATGGTCAGTACTCGAGGGATCAAATATACATGTAGTTATTAAGTACATTAATATATTTGTTATTTTGACAATCGTAATATTGCGAGATAGTAATTGTAATCTTTGGGCACGCTCTCACATATTGTCTTAAGTTTATTTCGTAAATCGTTTAGTTAGTTGGTTGTACCATAGGAGATAGTTAGTTAATTTGGGTCTACAATTCGACATATTGTCCTACTGTTTTAATACCGTTGTTTATTTGTTATTTATTTTAATTATATGCTCATATAGATTTAATATTAACTTGATATCGTAATTTGTTTGCTATAATTTATTTTAATTCAATTTATAATTTTATTTTCGGGACTAGGAGTCATTTATGCAGCTGCCTCACTAGCTGCACACTTATCAAACATAGCGTCTAAAACTTGAGTAAACTTAAGATGTCTTTCCTCAGGAGCAACCGCAGCTCCACGACTTCCCCATAAAAATTTAATATGAAATTCAGTTCTAAATGCGTCAGTCAAAAGCTCATCACTCCTCCAACCTTCAAGAGCAATTTCCGCATTTCTCCGGAAAACAGGAAGACTCTCTACCAATTTCCGAGATGCTTCTAAGTGGGCCCAAACGATTGAGAGACCACAGTCGGATGCAGAGTTCTCCCAAGGTGACAATATTGCTGCTACGAGACCTGATGGTGCTGCTGTTCCTACAGAAATTATTCAATTGAGTTATTTATATTTACTAAGAAGTAAATAATGTTAACAGACAGAAATAGATGATGTTGTTAATACCTAAGACATCTTCAGGAGCTCGTTCTCCAAGCAAAGCAATTGGTAAAAGATGTGGCAAAGTAGTGTTCGGAGCTTGGGGATTGGTGCATTCATTCATTGCTCTTAATGTTGGTCTCAATTTAGCCTCAAAACTGAAAGCTTCGTCAGTATACTTTTGTCGTAAAAGATGCCATGTGTTGGCTAGTCTTTGAATCTGTGGTAAACATAGACCTAACATAACTCCACAAAAACCATAAAGATTTCCAAGAGCTGTTTTGGTGTCAATAGCAACTTTAATCCATTTGCTAATAGTAGTAGCTCTTTCAATAGCAGTTGCACCAGCGAGGACAGTCACAGCTACAAGCAGCTTTAAACACTCTGATCTCTCTATAAGATCAAGCCTTGTTTGACGTCCATGAGGTAAAGTAGCAAGTTCCAATCCGCTCAGACCTGACCTATTTCCCATACCAGGGTTTATAACAAGCTCTAGGTCTATGCGTGTCAAGTGAGAAGCTAAAACTCGAGGTGCTGAGTCGTGCAACATGCCAGATACACCTCGTAAAGCGGTAGGATCTAATGGTCGATGATCACTAGTTGGTAAAAGTAGTGTAGAAAAACCTTCAATGTCTAATGCTGTAGATATCTCTAGCGATGGGGCAGCAACAATTAATTGTTCTTCAGCCGAAAGCTCGTACTCATTCACGTTTCCATTCAATCCGTCGTTTGATTGACTATACTGACTACGAATTACTACCCCTTTCATTGGCACTGGAGGATTTGTCCCACCGGAATTATTGCCCTCAAATTCGCTATCGCCTGATCCATTACCACTATCACTTCCTGAAGCTTGGTAACCCTGAAAATTTAACAATTGAATAAGTGAATTGTGCTAATTACATATATCTGTTTAGTTCAAAAATTAGGATGAGTTAAAAGCTTTGTTAATCCTTAACTGACATGCTTTTTTACTTCGTATCTTTATTCAACCTACTTTCCTGGCAAAAAAAAAAATTTACTTGAACAATATGTGAGAAATATGTGAATGATAAATGATTGCAATCCATGCACGAAATTTATGAAAACTTTTAATACATATCTTAAATTTCAAGCGTGACATCTGTCATTAAATAACCATCGTAATTCGGCTTTACGATGAGTATGTTTCGGGTATTTACTTATTCCGGTAATGTAGTTTACGATGCAGGTTACAAATTATTCATCACGTACAATTTTTTTTTAACTTGAGCTCATTACTCATGGTAATCTTGTGCATATTAAAATATTTATGGAGCATTCATGAATATGGAACTTTAAACTATGGATAACTTTATATCCTCTATAAATTTGATATTTATAATTATATGTATAGAAAGTTCATGAGAATTGATTAATGTTTCTTGGCAAAAGACTTAATAAGTGAATTCAAAAGCTAAACAGTTTAATCTTTTTTAATTTCAATTAAGCTAGTAAATATTATTATTGAAATTGTTTCCTAAGATAAAAAATATTCAAGTTGAAAATTTTAACGACTTAAATTTGTTAAGAAGAATATCCATTTTGAAATATTCATTATTAATGTATAATGAAATTTTTATATATAATTTCTTTAATAAATATGAATTAAATTACTTGATGAAAGTTTAATATTTTTCAACCTATTTCGATTGTTATTACTTCGTAATAGTTATTTTTATTAAAAAGTTACATTTTATAAATTCTTATTATAATCGTGATAATTAGTATAGATTTTTCGTCATAAAACTGCTATTTTATAAAAAATTTGAATTTAAAATTGAAGGTGAGTAAAAAACCTCATCATCAGGATGTATTTTTTTAGCTAATTCAATTATTTCGTAAATTAAAAAATACCAATTTACGCACCACAGAAAGTTTATTAAAAACTCAAGTTAACGATAACAAGATAACAAGATAAAAATCAAACGAATTCCTCCAACTATTTGAAAAAATTCTCGAGTTCTAAATCTAAATTACATAATATAAAGTTTGATTACAGCTCGAAAACATCAAGTTTTAAGAATGTTTAAAAATTATCAAATTAACTCAGATCAAAAGAATTGCACCATTGAAAATACAATAATTTTACATAACTTAAAAAGCTTCTGATAAAGTTTAAAATAATCCCGGATGTTATAGAAGTTCAATAATAAAATATTTCTAGTATTGCACAAAGAGTATTCGCTATCACAAAAAAACAGAATTTTCACACTGTTACAAAACTCGTTGCAACTAGTTCAGATAGTCAATCGTCAAAGGAATACTTCTGCTTTATATTATGTGATATCCTAAATGACCTATATATCATGCATATTATTCGAAAATAAACCAAAATAAATGAGAATTTGAGAATATCGATAAAAAAGTAGTGAATGCTGAATAAAATAAGCTTTAAGACTCTTCGAAATTGTTTGAATGACTCTGATGACATTTTTTTTTTCATCGCTTTCAGAATTCTATCGAGATGTCGTATTGAATCAGAAAATAGACCTCCTGAAGAATCTATGCCGATATAAATCATAAATTGAAGGAATGCAACCAGGAATTTCAAATTTATAAGTTCGACGTTTTACGACGTTCAAAGCATAAAAAGAACGGTTCGATTTCAAGTCTACAATCACGGACAAATCTTGTATATTTTTTTTGGTAAATACACGACATTGTCTGTTACGAAATTTCATTCTATAAGAAACTTATCTTCGTAAAAACATACAGTACAATAAATTAGTTATTAAAAAATAATCAATTATTTTTCGAATGCCTAAATTTACTCTCTTCAATGGAATAAAATTTTAAAAATCTAATCATAAAAAAAATTCTTACGACTATCATTTAAAATCTATTAAATGTAAAATGAAAATATTTATGAATAAAAATTGAGAATATTATCTTTTGTTAATTATATTTACTATTAATGATGTCTTTTAGAGTTCGATAAATTTGTTTAATTATACAAAACTTTAGTCTTGTTAAAATTTGCGCACCGTCAAATTAATATTCTGCAGTAGTTTACATCAAATGTCAACATATCATGTAAAGTTACTGAATTTGTGATGCATTATAGTATAATGATTATAATATTAAAGTTTATTGAACACATGAGAATAATGAATAGTTCTAGAAGCATGGACCACACAATATAGGGGTTAATGTAAATTCTACTTTAAATGACTCGTTGTTTATAATAAAATTCCTCTTCATCTATTTTGCAAAGAGTTTATTAATTAAATGCAGGTCGTTAAAAATTCAATTACAACGTATCTTCTCACAATCATGCATATAATTGTTTTAATTATGGTTGTAAAATAATAATGGTTATAATAGGAGCTTGTAGATTATGAGAATATTTAACTTTTTACTAATTCGAAACAAGTAGAGAAAAATATAAATTTTTGCTGTCAGCATAAGTGTTCTAGAAGAAATATCGTACGTACACAACATAAAGGATGGTAAATCATATTTTTTAGTAACGTAGTAATATAATTTAATTTTCATTTTAAATTGAATGTTTTAAAAGACAAAGAGAAAAGTTTAGCTTGAAAAATTATTTTCAAATTTTATGTCAAAAAATGGTTCAAAAGAGAATTTTTTTTTTCGTCAGTGCTTTGAATCTGGAATATGCAACAGTAGTTTTTTGTAAAATTTTATTTCTTGTTGGTCGCAACAACAAGCTTGATATGAAAAATTTACAAACAATACCCATGAAAGAGAGACATCGAATTGTGAAAACGACAGTAAATAGCTATTGTTTGTCAAAAATTTTAGTTTATATATTTATTTTCATGTTTACTTTGATGTTTTCAACAATTTTTTGATGTCTCTATTAGAAATAGATGAGATTTTTTAAATTCGTTATTATTGGAAAATTCTATATCCTTCAGCGAAGCTTAAAGCTTCCTATGCCACGATATTTTATTCACTAAACCCAGAATTACTGGTAATTCCAGAAATAACTTGAGAATATTAATTAAAAGATGAATTATGAAAACAAGAAATGTCCAGCTAACAGTTGTAACAATAAAAAAATGTTCTGTTCTTTAATCGCTTTTATCCAATAAATATTTCATTGTAACCACTCTTCAAAATCGTTTCATAAATTCTAAATCAAATGCAACATATTAATCCATCAAAACAAACAGAAGCATAATGAAAAACAAATTTACCTGATGATGTGGATGATGTTGATGATGAGGAGGTCGATGGTGGTGATGATTATGGTGATGACTGCACGACTGTTGCTGCTGATGATAAGGAATCCGTGGTGGTTTTGGTGGTGCTACTGAAGATTGATGATGATTCAAGCTGTTCTGTGATGATAATTGATGATGCAACAGTTGCTGTGTCTGCTGTTGTTGTTGAAGAGCAGGATCAGATATTACCCTGGTAATTTTTTGACGTCCAAGTGATAGTGAACTTGATGGAAACTGATTCTGCACTGGCGGAACTCGTGGCAAAGTACTTGACTGAACAACATGTGGATGTTGAGATTGAAATTGTCCATGTTGATCTACATCATGATGGGGCTGTTGAGGAGTAAGGGAGTGACTTCGTTGTTGTTTTCGAGGTAAACAGGGTGGAGATCCAGCAAAAAGACACGATGAAGGACTGGAGCAATGGGAGGTAGAAGGTACACAAGTAAGAGGAACTGATCTTGGTTTCGGATTGATAATTCGAGCTCCACTTGTTTGAGTGATTGGTCTACCACTACCGACATAGAAGGTGATCAGGTCAGCGACCGTGTCGAAGGCCTCGTCCTCGAATTGAAATTGAGCTCGTTCATATACCGTTTCTGGTTGGATAACAACCTAAAAAATATAATAGAATAGAAATAATTCAATTCAATTATTTGTTGTGTATCAAAAAATTGCTTTTTACTTTATCCTTTGATTTAGTGGACAAATAAAGAATAGCAACTGTTCATTTCTAGAAAACTTTAATTTCATTTTCACTTATTTCAGTGGTAAAAGAATTAATTGAAGGTTCGGAACCGAGTACTCGTATTTCCTTTATTCTACAAAAGAACCTAAGTTAAGTTTTCCAGAACTCTAATTACGGCTTGTAAAAGCCCTTTAGAACTTTATAAAGATAATATAGATAAAGAGTCCAATTATAGAGAATACGCCGGTAATTGAGAATAGCCGGTTTATGTCGTTAGAAACCGCTCTTTTTCGTACCGCTTGTTAAAAAGTTATTAAAATTTTGTGGAGATTTTAATAAGACTCCCGTACTTTTTTTCACACATATTTCGTACATATTTTTAATTGCAGCTACCATTATTTTTATTTTTAAAGCTATCCAAATTAATCAAGATGATACTTCAATATAAAAATGATGAAAATTATCAAATGTTATTCGAGTTATAATAAGAGGCTGATTAAAAACTCCAATAAATACCTAAAATTAATAGCGCGTAATAATTAACTAATGCAAATAAATCAGTCATTATTCGATATAAATATTGAATAAGATAAACTCTTCTATTTATTTTCCATTCTATCATTAAATTATCATCGATATAACTCTTCAACATTTCAATAATATCTACACGGAGAAAATTTTTGCACTAACCATAAGTACAAAATAACAAATGCACTTTTGAAATAGAAATATGCATATATGTGTTCAGCAGTGAATTTTAGAGTGTCGTAAGTAATTTTTGAGTTATCATGAGTCATCATTTTGTTAAGACACCTCTCAATTATCAAGTTTATTTACAAGAACTTAAAATTTACTATTGAATAAAAACATTTTTGATTCTAAACTTCGAAACGTGCACTTGTCATTTTTTGCACTTACATTTAGTGAAAAAAATTCTCTCCGTGAATAATAAATTAAACTCATTGATTCGATAAAAACTTTAATAATAATCCTATCATTTTAAACTTCATTAATTATAAAAAATATTTTACCATATTTTTCTTCGTACTTGAATTCTTTAATTTCAATTCAGGTTTTTTTAATAATGTTTTATAACTAAATTATTACATTTTTTTTGTGTAATTATGAAAAAGGATGTTTCATTCATAAAAAACAAATGACTATGTTATTAAAAATACCTGAGTTGGAATTTTAATTTCAACATTGATTATTATTTTCCTGCAAGACAAAACATAATTCAGTGTAGCCATATAATTAACTTACAATATTATTGAATGAAAAAAAACTTGAATAAAAAATATAACATACTCTATTAATAACAAAATGCAGAGGTTGACCTTTCCAGCGTACGGTTAGAACATAGTTGCCCGGTTGGGAGGCACAATCACGAACAAGAAAATCACCATCGTTCGGTACTTCAGCCTCAGCGCCCTTTCTACCGCCCCGAAGTGTACTCCCATGATACCAAGCATGCGAACGCAGATCTCGTGGATCCAGCAACCGTAGCTCACGTTCCAATAATTTACGTATTGATTCTTCAGGTTGCTCCTAAACCACAGAAGTCAATAAACTTTAGAAGAGTCTACATTCTACTTCACATTCAAATACACTCTAACAAATAACATCCAAAAATAATCACAGAATAAATAATGAAAAATATTAGAGTACTCACCATGAATGAACTGGGATGGTCGTTTTTTGCGACTTCTTTGACAGACAGTTTCATCTGACGCGGAAGACATTTGCCATAATTATTATTATCAATATCTTTTCCTTCTTCTGTTTCGTCCTCGTTTTTTTCTTCTTTGGTTTCTCCGTCCTCCACCCTCGTTTCGTTGATTCTATGATTAGAACATGATATCACAGTCAAAACACTTTATTTCCACTGCCTCAGCAGCGAAACAAATATTTGATCAATTAAAAGTAATAAATAATCTTTCACGCGTATCTTATAAAATCTAGTCTAGCTAACTGTACTTAAAATTAATAATCCTAGCACTTTAGAGCTTTATATCGCTGTCATCGACACACAAGCAAGTAAATACAGGGTTTGGTCGCGGCTCTGGTCGCGCGCACGCACCCTACTGAACTGTAGGCCCTGTGCCGTGCAGTGCCGCAATCATTGGAAGGGGGCTCGTCCACTCATTTCTCCTCTTTCTTCATTTTTATTCCTTTCACTCTGGTATGCTTACTCACGAGCACCGTGAGTTTATAAATAGTTCCAAAATCGCCGTATAAATCGACTTGGATTCTTTCGCCTTATCTTCTTTCTTTCAAGAAGTTGAAGTCCTTGGTCATCAATTTATTTTTACCATAATAAGTACCAGATTGGTTGTAAAAATTATTCTCACTTTTTTTTATAATAAAAAAAATAAATAAGAATCTTTGATTTGAAACAATGAAAATAGATATTTTGGAGTAAATTTGGAGTAGATTTTGCGAAAAAATTATTTGTTATCAGTAAAAAGGTGTAGACAATGGTAGATACGTTACTGAACCCCTTCTCCGTCTTTAATCTACTCATCTCTTCGTAGCCGCGAGCCTTATAACGCTTGCGTTGAAGACGAATGCTTGGGACTCATCATTCGACAGCCGCACTGAGCTGAGCTGCATCGTCAGAGACAGGTATAGAATATTAACTTGAGGAATTTATTTCTTTGAAAAAGGTATGCATCATGTAATCTATCATCTAAACGTCATTTATAGTCATCCTGAAGGATGAAAGGCATGAAAAGATAGAAAAGTATGCTGTGATGGAGGTCGAGGGGAACGAACGAAAATTATTGATCTCACGATGGTATCTCGATAGAAGAAAATTAAGGGGATGATAAGTACGCGCATGCGTAAATATACGTTCGATAAATGTAGCATTTACCCCCCTTTTATGAAAGAAGTATGAGCTTCATACTTAAAAAATATTTGTAATATTTCTCAGATTATATTTTTTATTCCATTTTATTTTAAAAATGATCGAAATATTTTTTCTAAATATTTTATTTCTTATTTTATTCAGACACGTCATGGATAAAACGATGAAATCTTTAGTATATCATTTGACAAATAATTATAAAATAAACTTTCATTGGTTAAAAGCTGACTTGCATGATAAACACGATTTCTGCGTAGGATATGTTGCTTTAACACGTATCGTAAACGAGAATGCTGACTAAACCAGACACTCTTTAGATTACTCTTTATTCTCGTCTTTCAACTTCATAGCAGCCAAAAGCAATCTGCATTATCCCATCGTAATTATGAAATTATGGGAGACTTTTAACTGTACATTTTATTTTATAGAAAAATATCTTAGTTTACCTGAATATATAATTGGACAATTAATTAATTAAAATATATTTTTCCTTTAATAATTTAGGGGAAAAAATTTATAAAGCAATTTAACTTATTTGACTCTTGGGTTCATAAAACTCATAACAGTTGAGAGAACGGATATTTGAGAATATAAAAATTTTATGGTAAAATGTTTCATAAAAAATATTCAATTTTCTTTGAGTGCTTTTTATCTGGTGCCACTCACCCAATAGATAACTGTCAATGTCAGCTAAATATTTCTGTATACTCGAAATTTTTCTCAAATTCCTGCAAATGATGTAAAAGATAAAACCTCAACTACGAAAAAAAAAGTCTAAAATGCTTGTACATATATAATACTTGTTTGACTGGCGTTCTTCCACGCTTGCACGGTACCAAGGTATCTTTTCAGTGGCGATAATACAGAGGTTTACATGAAATAATATTACGGCCGTGAAATAAATTCAAAAGATTTTGTGTTTATTCATATTTATATTCCAAATATTACTGCAAGTGCTATTCTTACAGCTCTTCAACAATAATCCATGTCCACGAAATTAACAGGGAATACATAAATAAGCTCTAAATTTAACATTTCGAGGATCCTATTAATTTTTTACACAATTCAATTATACGTGTACATTATCGTGGTGAATTCGAGCATCAAAACTTTGTATACCACTACATTGCATTCAGAGCATTTAAACATTACCTTTGTGCAATAGTTTTAAGATAGTAATTAACAATGTAGGTTACAAATAATTGACTTTGGGCATCATACATTAGATTTTAAATGCAACCTATTACTGAGTGAATACTGAATTTTCAGAAAAATCAATTATCTTAAGTGAACAGTAATTTAACTATTATATTCAATTTATATATGAAATTAAAAAAGTAGTATTTCCTTTAAAATTAATGTTATTATTTATCAATTGATAAGTTTATATAACCAATTAATTTCTATTAACATAGACATAATTTATAGATCACAATTTACGGTGATTTTTTTGCTTAATTTAAAGGATAAATATTTAGTGTAATAAATATTTGTTAGTATTTTTTTACTAAAGTTTGAAAAATTTGTATAAGTCGACTATAACTTAGTTATTTGAATTAAATAATCACGAGAAACCGGCTACTATAACGCATATACGCGTGTGCGCGTCCACGTGTGCTAATCACAACCAAACGATAAATTTACTTGAGCACTTTATGCCATTTAATTTATATCCACAGTAGTAAACATGTGACATTTTTGCATAATCACTCATGTAATAAAACCTAATCGAATTTTTTCTGAAAATTACATGCTACATTATTGTAATCATCAATTCACACTTTAAACCAGAACAAATTTCTCAATTAATTACTACAAACAGCTAAATAAAACCGATCATTCGAATGAATTTTTAATTTTTGATGATTGAATTTTTTTTTAATCAGAAAATAAATCATTTAAATTATACTTATAAATTCCACAATCGAACTGATTTATTTAAGTGAATTCACTTTAATTGAATATCGAAATAATCTACACTTTTCATTACTTTACAAATAGAAATGTTTTTTTGTCTTCTTATTCTTCTAAACACACACACATGAATCAATTTCAATGGAAACAATTAATTTGATGCTCTGATTTCAACACTGACATATCATTGTGCACTTCAATCAACATTCACAATCTTAATCTATTAAATTTTTATTTCTGTTAAAGAACAATTCGTGAAATATGTTTAAAAACCTACAATCTCATAATGACTCTGTAGTTGATTGGAAAAAAAAATAACTAAAAGTAATTAATGTTTTGAAAATAAAATAATTACTGACGTTCGTTTAGACGAAACTCGCAATTTACTGGCAATTTTTCCCATTCTTTGATTGATGTTGAATGTTTAGGAATTTAGGGCAAATAAACTAGACACCTGGTCTGAATGGTTCTCTCTATCCACTTCACGTACTGTATCACTTCAGTGAGTGACGTAAAACCTCAACTGGTCGGCCTAGCACTACGATCGTAACATAATGTGATATCGTGCTAACTAAACTCAAACAGTCTCAAGTACATACGACGAGAATGAAACGGATAAACTTAAGGACAAAGAATATATTGGTGGAAGTAAGAGGGTAATGCTTATAAAGACACTAGTATAAAGTGAGAGGATGTGAGTGGTAAACAAGTGGGAGATTGAAGAGAAAGAAAGAAATACTTAAAAGAATGCAGTATTCATATATGTACGAATGCGAATAAAGAAAGAAAAAACCAGTTGAATTTACCATGCTGAGTTTTCTTCTTCTTTGTATTCATGTTGCAACCACGTGATTTTCCGCGAAGGATACGCGATCTCATTGGGAATTGACTCGATACTGATTTAAATGATTTTATTACAATCGATAAAATCAAAATGAACGATCCATTACTTTTGATTGGCATTTTGCACTTTTGTTTAATGATCGTAGAAGGAATTTTCTTATTATAAAGGGTGAAAGAATTCTATTCTTCGCATTACATTGTGCTGCTTTCAATGGAAATCAGTTCAAAGGCATCTTCTTCAACTACTGAATATGAGATGCACTTTGCAATTATTATAATATGATACTTTGAGAAAAATATGTTCGCTTTCAAAAAGTTAATTAACACCTGCTAATAACACATAGATTAAATTAGCAAGTAAAATAGAACGTTTAGAAAAAATTCTATTAAATAAGATTGCATGCTTAAGTATCAGCAACGCAAATTAGTGATTAACTAATGATCAACAGATTTGATAAATATTATAATTAGTTTGTTGGTTTATTTGTAATTTTTATTAAAAATTCTTTTTGAAATAACTTAATTTATTGAATGTAAAATTAGATAAGAGTAAATATAGTTTTTAAATAAATTTGCACAAAAGCTTTTTTTATGTTTGTTTAAACGAGTGAACTGATGAAAGCTGGCTTATAAAGTTTTCTTATCAGATAAAAAGGTGATTTCGATCATCCTGTGGTAGGTTTTGATGATATATATTTTGTAATCGAAAAATTGATATGATAATGTGATAAACGATGATGGATTTTATCATGAATCAATCAAAAAAATTGATTGTTGACATTTTTGGTTCATCTAAAAAATATATAGAATCTAGATTATTATTCATTTATAATTTTTCAAACAATTTGCTTACATAATCTATAAACTTACTTAAATTAAAAATATATCATCAAGTTAAATAACTATTAACTCTACATGAATATTTATAAAGAAAACAATAGATCAACGATAGGAAAAATTTTTTTTTTAGTTCTTCTTAATCAACGAATAAAATTAAAATAATCGTCTTCGTCTGATTAAAAAATTTTTAAACGAAATTAAATATTTTTTATTATTGATTATACAACTTAACATAATAAAAGATGCTATAAGAGTTTAAGAAATCATTTCAAAGAGAATTGATAATATTTAGCTACATAAAATATTGACACATCAATTAAATTGACTCAAAAACCCCTTAATTTCATCCATTTAGGCCACTTTATTATATATTCTTCAGATAAAGTACATCAAATTTGACAGCAACTTATTTAAGTAACTTTAGCTGATTACTTTCTTTTGTTTATAATTTATATATTTTAATACAGATTATTATTTGTTTGTATTTTCAATACTTCATATTTACCATTCTTCTGCTATATTCCAAATACCCAAATCATGTAATAAATTAAAAATATTTTTTTATCACAAATTAATAACTTGTAACTATAATCAAGTGATATCTTATTATACATCTTGCTTTAATTCTTATGTATGAATGTAAGTAAACCTATATAATATATAAAAGATGAAAAGTAGTTGAGAATAACATAATTGTATTAAAGACACATATGATATAAATAAAATCACTAGCATAGTTAGAATGAAATTGAAAAGTATATCTATTGATTCAATCACTCTATATAATCTTCAATTATTCATAGAAAAATCAGGTATCAAAAAAGCTATTTGGTTCATTGCTTATTGACTTAGATAATATTTAAAAACAGTTGTTACTATAGATAAATAGTTAATTTGATGTCGAGAGGTTGAGGTAAAAAAAGTTGAATTTATAGTTAAACAGATTTCTATGATTGGTTTGTTTCTCACAGTTTAAAGGTTTTTTTTATAAACATTCTTTTTAAGATTATTGAAAAGTGTTGAACTACATATTTGTAATCATGATATAATAAATCTATGTACAATTATATTTTCCATATACTTTTGTAGTTGAGTATAAAAAATCAGGTATAAGTTGTGCGTGAAGTTCATTGTGAATTACAATTTAACAGGCAGGTACACTATGTTTTTAAGTTAATCATTTACTTTTTGCGTGAGTGCTATTATTTATCTTGTGTAATCAACCATAATTATCTCATTAAAAATATATATATATGCAAACAGTTAAAATATTTTATTACTTCCAGGGTGCAATTACTGTTTGAATAATTTTACGAAAATTGGGTAATTTTTTTTAAAAGACATAAACCTACTAATTCTGTTTTATAAATTTAACATATTGAAAAAATGTTATTCTCTATGGATTATTGATTAAATTCATATTTGATAATTTATAATTTTGTAATTTCTTTCGAATCTTTGGCCCCAGGGAATTTATACAGCAAAACCATATAATTTTCTAATATTTAGAAGAATAAATACATTTTAATTAATTATTTTATTCAATTAAATATTAATATTGTTATTGAGAGAATTCTAAAATTTCATTCAAAAGATTAATACCATTGATAAATGATTGCATTACCATTACAGCAACAAGACAAGATTAAAAAGAGTGATTTTACTATACCCTTTAACAAGAAAAATTAAGAAAAATATTTCGTGATTGTATATTTATTTCAAGACATGACATTACCCAATTCTAGTAGAATCATTTAGTAGAAATAGGAAAACCTATTCTCGAAAAAACAGATAAAATGATGTTAATATTCTATTCGTTTAAACCCAATCGAAATTGTTATCTAAAGTTTCGACAATTTCGTGTCTGAACCTTAAGCTCATCTCTTCAAATAACTTTTCCCCTCAAAGTTTATCCTAAATTTATGATAAAACCGTTTTACCTCAATAGAACTCTGTTTTAAAGCTGAAAGGGGATTTAATGGCAAAAAAAGCAAAACATTTGTGTAAATTCTAACAAACTAATTTCTCCATTTTATGAATTTTGTTGCGTTTATATATAGAATATTTTATATTACATTTTAATTAGATTTAACGTTCATTAATTTTTTTTTAGCAAATTTTTACCTGAATGTATCTCCACTTTTACTTCATTACTTAAATGAAGCTTTATTACATCAATAGAAATAATTACAAGTCAAATCTTAGAAAAGTTATGAAAGTAAATTCAAGCTGGAAATACGTTGCTTTTTTGTATAAAATTTAAGTTGCATAAACTTGAATGAATCATCACAGCCACTACAGAAAATGAGAAAATATTCATTTAATTACAAAACCCTATTTCTAGATATTTGCTGACTATTTAAAGAATGCAAATACATTTATTCACATCCAGGACAATTATCATGGCAAACAAAAGGTAGTTATAATAATAAAGTATAATTATTAAGAGCAATTGTTATCTCTTTTTTTCTATTCAAGCACCAATTTTCAAAAATTTCTTTTCGGTGTAACCATATAATGATTTGTTTAATAAGTACAATGTTCATTATAAATATATATGTATAAGAATGAGTAGAATATAATTAAATTTGAAATAAAACTTTCTTATTTGAGATGAGAATAAATAGCATACTGCTGTAGTATCTCAATAAATCACAACAATTGAGAGCAATTAGAAAAGATAAATCTCAATAATCTCTGACAATTTAACTAAATGATAAAATATCATCAATTAAATCAGTCTCATTGACAAAATATCCAAGTATTAACAAACTAGTTGTTAATCCAGTATTATAAAAATTTTGAGTAGACACCGATGCTTATATATTCGCTGTTTGTTTCAGCGGGGAAAATGGACTCAATCCATACTTAATCAATAACCAATGACTGCAAGGTCATAGTATCGAAAATACACTATTTATGAATTTTCTTCATACTAATACGATGAATTACCTGTCATAGTTATAGTTTAACACTTTTATAAGCCTTTATTATGGATTTTTTTATTTAATTAAATCTTTCTCTCACTTCATTGGTGACCTCCAATCACTGTAATCTTACGTATACATTTTCAAACCTGATTAATCCTTTTTTCATCTCGATAAAACAATTCCAGATGCTTTTTCTCTTTTTTCCATTGAATTCCAGCCAATTAATTGTTTAGAGGATTACACAAGCTGTACCGTGCATTACCTCAGCAATAAACATGGGTGTGCCAGCACCTAATCCTCCGTCAGTCTTCTCTTGTTCATCCTTATCATATTCGCAGTCGAAATAATGACTCTGAAATATTAGTAATTATCGTTAACATACCAACTAATTTCAAAAAAATTTACAAGTATTAGAAAATTTTAAAAAATTAACGGAAAAATAATTATTTCAACTAAAAAATAATCAATCATTTATGTAACTTTACAATGTTATTCCATGCTGTTTTTCGAAATAAAATTAAATTAAGCAATACTTGTTATAATATCATGAAAAGAATAAGGAAAAGGATACATTTATAGATAATGCTCAAGATTAACAAAACTATCATCAATTTTTTGTGTTTCCATATCAGTTTTGTTCATTTTTCTAGGTTGACTTTAGTTATGAATGAAAATTTGGATTAGATTTGAAACAAAAGATTCCCCCTTCTGTAATACGCAAATATTTCTTTTATCTTTACTGGTATTAATTCAAGATAAAACGTTTACTAAACAATCTAAACACATGGAGATAAAGCCAAGAAGATAACGTTGAAGATTTACATGTGTTTATATTCATTTTATTTAACAAATAAAAAAACTGTTATAGTTTGTGTACTTCAAGAAACTCTGGAAGGTTTATATGCAATAATTTGGTATGTTGCTTATGTTTCCTTTTTTATTATCCGTAAAATACTGTTATTAGATATTTAAGTGTCAAGAAAATATATCAGCTTTAAGAAACTAATCTACTCATTCGTCAGCAACCCTCATTAAGATACTTTAAAATGATTCGTCTGCTCTTATTTACAACTAATACAATACGTAATTATGAATATTTTAATGAAGCAATACGTAAATCAAAGAAAATTATTTCTTGTCTCAATCATTAAATCATGATTATTAACATGTTGATTTCTTATTTCTAAGAATTCTGCATTTTATTGCAGAATATTTGATTATTTTTTTCCAGACCACTCAATTTAACTTGAAGCTCTTTTTTATCAGCCATAAAAGAAAAAACCGAAAGAAATAAAATGCTTGAGTTGAGTAATAAAGAAGAATCAATAACTAGATACCTGGCAATCCAAACATCGACACTGATCACTCATTTTACAAGAAATTCCGCACTGCTTCGCTATAGCTCGATACAGCTCTTTGCTAGATTTATGAAGTATCTGTGGAGCTTTGACGATAATTGTCGCTCCTTCCAAACTACTTTCACCCTCTTGAACTCTGCTGACTATCATACTTTTGTTCTCGATACTACCTTGTCTGGTACTAAATTCATTTTCTTCCTCTTCTCTATACTCTTGTTCCTCTTCGTTAACTTCACTAGGTGATCGTCTCAATTGTGTCTGTAATGTATTAAGTGACATGCATATGTATACGTGCTACAATGTTTGATAACGATCAAGGTTCAATAGAAAAAAAAATTTCAAAGAAACTTTTTTTACCTCTTGAAGTACATGTTCATATGAAGGTGGAGGAGAATTCGTGAAATTTGCTTCAGACTCATTTCCAGTAGCAATAATATTGAATTCAGTTCCAGGTGTTTCAGGTCGACTGTTTGTACTTGTCTGCTGCATTGGTGGATCATCACACTCATGGCTGCTACTTCTACTTTCCTTACTACGTGATTTGGACATTTTTGAGAATCGCAGTTTGAATGGTGCCATTGTTAGAAAATGTTCTTTTTCTCAGTAGTGCTGGAAACAACAATTTATATTAATATTTTTAATTTTAATTGAATCAACCCAATAATTCCTTACAAACAACTAAGCTATTTTATTGAGTTATTGAAAATGAATTAACCACAAATATTATTACTAAGATGGGCACGTGTATTTAGTCAGAGCAAAGTTTCATCCCTTATCGATCCGTTACGCTGATGGCGCAAGCTTCATCAAAGCAATGTTATCTTTCAATATCCATACAAAAATCATAATATTCTCTTACCTTCTTAGATGCTTTGATTTTCGTAATTAAATAACCATCAATAACATCACTGAGAAATATCACAAACACTTGATATTTTTTTTTTCAATAAATGCGTTGTAAAAGCTCAGTAGTTACAAGCCGGGCTTTGAAGTGCACGATATGTTCAAGCAATATTTTGTCTCGGCAGCCATACTGAATATACTTCGAACGACACCACACGGACGATCGTGTTAGTTGTGGGGAAAAAAACAATCATGCCCCTTCAGGCAAGCAATGATTGATCTGCAAAGTCTAATGAACTTCCAAGGTACTCATTCGTGGAAAACTTTATTCCACTATCATTTATTATATATGGTTTTGCGAATAAATTTTTTTACAAAGTTTTGCGTATTCCAAATCTGTGTTATTTCTTTTTTATATCTTAATAAACATTAGCGGTACATTTATTAATATTATCTATCATAGTCTATTCCAGGATTATGGTTAGAACTATAGAAGTTTACTATAAAAGTGATAATCATTCCAAGCGTTAAGTAATTGATAGAAAAAAAAATTGATTGTAAAACTTCTATATTTCTTTATCGATTATTTATTTTGCAGTCTTTTCAATTTTACTGCGTAGAAAATTTTTATAATAATATTGGCATAAATAAATATCTCCATTAATAGATAATTATTCAAATATTTTAATTTTAATATCTAGAGGAAAACTAAAGAATTAAAAAAGTTTGAATTGTTTCAATTTTATTCTGTTCGTAAGCCAAAAAATTATCATGATACAGCGCACTCGAGATGATACAATGATAATGCTTAGTCGATAAAAACTCTATCTAAAAACTATGCCATTCATAAAAATAATTAATCCTACATCATAACTATTTTGTTTGAACAAAAGTTATGTATTTTGTACAATCATTTATGAATAATTACTCCGGGGATTAGTCTTATGTTTGCTGTTGAGGAAGAGAAATAAAACTTGAAATACAATCAGAAAACGGAAATAATAAAAGGAAATATTTTATTTCAAGTGTTGGATAAAAAATATTGATTTAATCTATTTTCTGTTATATACATATATATCTATATAATAATATTCAGCATTATAACATCGTAATGAAACGTCCATCTTCATCGCCATTCACAGACAAATGATTTCGGGAAATTTATTCTGACTGAATGAAAATATGTAATAGTAATACACTATTTATCGATCAATGAATACAAAAATGCCATTAATTATAATCGGACGTAAATAAGTTGAAAACTCATCATATTGAGAAAAGTATTGATTTATATAAAATTTTGAATATTCTTTTATTCAATGAAATTTATCACTTTCAAGCATCCTCAATAATGATATGGACAAATTTCGTTTAAATATAATTCTACAGAAATAAACAAATAATCAAGATTTTTTTAATAAAGTAGTCAAGAAGAAAAATTATCGACAAAGTTAACTGCAAAATAACAACAATATCAAAAAGTTTTTCTCAAAAAACAATAATTTAAAAACTTTTCAGGAAAACTGCGAGAAGAACTGAGGGAAGAACAGACTGATTAGAATATAAATGTAATAAATTGAATTAAAATATGCGAATGTAAATCTTTGCGTTATCCAGTTTACTATTGCACATTTTTTCATTAAGATTGATGATCTTAATCTCGAGTATAAAATTAAATGTCAGTTTTTTCTTTTCATTATCATAGACTAACAATCGACTTTTAATCGTTTCTGATGATAGTAAGATTAAAATAATAATCGACTGAAGTAAAATACTTTATTCAACATAGCATAAAACTTGTCTACCAGTTGACATCATCAATTCACCCTTATACCGTCATGTCTCTTGTCTACCGGAAGTGGCAAGCAGGAAAGGGATTGAAGAAGCAACTATGAGTCGGTCTCACTTCTCCATTGTGCTTTTGAGATTTAACGAGAAGCCTAGAGAGAGTTGTTCTACCGGAATTCCGTTGAAAATGATTCTCTCTGCTATTACTAGACGAATAATCTGTTGTAATACATAATGTATATAGTGTATACCATAAAATTACAAAAAAAAAAAAAAATAATCAAAAGATCAAAAACGATTTTTTATTACACTTTACATAAATGAACAAAAAAAAATGAAACAGGTAAACAATTTTCAAGAAAATATAATTACTTAAGAAAAAATTCAATGTTTCAGAAGCATTTTTTATTAATTATTATTAAAGAGACATGTCAATAAAACATGTACCAAAGAAAGTTCTATAACTACAGACTTTGGGGAAAGAGACCGAATGAGGAAGAACGTCGTGGATTCTGCGACGCGCGCGCCACTATCAGCAAATCGATGCGAAAGGGTCGAGCAACCACCCTCAACTTGTTTCTCACTTGCTCATCAAGCGTAGGAGTCAATCGGCATCTCTTTCTAACTTTCGGAGCGTTAAGTTAACGCTCGCCCTGTGACTCGCACCGATTCAACAGAATAGATATACACAGTACAGTAATCGAGCACGTCGAGAACTCGCGCTCACGTGCAAGCGCTCAGTCATCCCCTGCGATCACAACAAGCAACATCCAAAAAGAAGTTAAAAAATATTTATCACTACTGATTCACCAAATTCATCGGGCTTTTACCTTCGATGTTATACAGTACTCATCATCCACATCTCAACCTTTTTAAAGTGAGTATCATTATATTTTTTTTCTCTTAGATTTCGTTGATAATATTATCTTTTATTCTATTTTATAAATTGATTAGTTATTTTTCGATAGACTGATCAAAGTTTGTCGTACTTTATTTAGTAAATTAAGAGCATCGATTTGTTTACGTGAATGTCGCTTACTACATCGCGTTTTCATTGAGAGAAACAAGAGGTGGTTCAAGGATCTGAACTCCTATTAGTAAATTTCATTTTAACTTTTATTTTTATTGTTTTTTTCCAAATAAGTTCATCAATTACTTTTTTTGTCAATGATCGAATTTATTTCATTAAACTATTTGACAATTTATTTTGTTGATTAATGGATTATTTAAATTAACAATTAAATTAATTTCAGTCTATGTCAATGGTTAATCAATGATTGTATAATAAAATTAATGTTATTTGATCCTGTTTTTATCGATAAAAAATTCTATTGTCCCTCATCATCAAGAATATAATATATGTACATGCATAATACGTGACTTGGCAATTTTCCAGGTTTTTAAATCAATAACTTTATCAAATACTTCTTGTATTTATTGGTCTATAGATTAGTTGTTTCTTTTCTTATAGCTATTTGAGAAATTAAAAAAGTTGTGATTTATATTAACTGTTAATAATATCATACAATAACTATTTTTTTCAAACTTATTTCATAAAATTGCGAATAATTTAATAATAAAGTAATATCTAAGTTTGCGTTTATTAAATATTAAAATCACGGCTTTTATTCATTTACGACTTTTAATGTTATAAGTCTTTCATCATCGCTGTAAAATATGTAAATGAGTTATAAAACAATTAATTAAGTACTCGGATGTGTGAATAAATGATTATGAAATTACATTTGCATAACAACAATTGAAGTTTTTAAAAATTAACACAACATTGATCATTTAAAAAACGATATGTATTGCACATTTATTATATTAATATTTTTTCAATATTTACCGAAGTAATAAACTGAGAATAACTGGGAAAATCATTTGAAACAATATCCACAGAAAATTGAATGTATTATCGTTCATTGTTTGAGTTTAAATAAATTAATAGTATGAATTAATTGCGATTGAAAATTTATTCAAAGAAATAAATTTGTCTTCCAAAACATAAATAAACTTTTCAGTTAAAACAAACTCGTACATGGAACACACATTGTCATTTAATTAATGTATACGTGTATTAATTTGCACATCCAATAATCGCGGCCTGACCTGAATTACGAAGTTCATTACGACGAGATGAAAGTTGGCGAAGACGAACTACCTAAAATTTCCAAGTAGATGAAATGGTTCAAGAGAGCAGTACAGTCGATAAAGTCTTGATGAACATAAAATTAGAAAAATTATTTGTTAAATTCATTTAAAGAAGTAATGTTTAATTTACATAAATTAGACAAAGCGAATGTGAAACAGAGATGTGACCAATAGTTTTAAAAGAATGTGACATTTTAATTAACGTGCTCTGTTGAAACTGTAGTTACACAATATGATGAAATAAAAAAGATTTCTCTTTTAATTATCTTGTCACTAGTTCTTTCAAAGTTACTTTTATTCAATCATCGTCTTTTCAAAAGCTCAAAAAAAATAATACAATTGCATAGAAAAGCGAAAAACACCAACACTTATACGAAACTATTTCATGAAAATGTTTTTATTTTAATTAAATGATTGATTTTAATTAATTAACAATACACTCGTCATTAGATTTTTAATTCTATTAACAAGTTGATGATTTTTCGTTTTCAATTATTTTGGATATTTTTTTATTTCAAGTAACTTTGAAATGGATAATCTTTTATTCGAATTTAATCAATCGTAAAAATACTTTTTATTCAATAGAAACATGAGGAGCATAAATATTTCATCTTATAGGTAATTATCTATTTACTTAAGTTGTACTTACTTTAATATAGTTATCAACAAGGATTTCTAACTACATAATTAAATCATGTTTAATTATATAAAGGCGATAAGATTAAACTTTTCCGATATTCAATCACTCTGTACAGGATCCATCGTAAATTAACAAATCGAACTATGACAAAATTTATTAGAGAATTTTTCCAATTGGAGTAGTATTCTTTTCTGCTACCAAACCGTAAATGATTTAACGTTTAATCGGTATTGTTTAGAAAATATTGTATTGTGAAACCATAAAAGAAATGTTTAAATAAGTTTATAATTTTATTCCAAAGGTTTTAATTCATAAAAAAAAATTCTTTTATTATAGCTGGAGTAATTTAGTCTCCTTTAAATTCGCTAATTTTAGACTAAATTTAGTTGGCAAATGATCGTAAATGCGTCTTTGGAGTAAATTCAATGGGATAAAGTTGCCAATAGTCAGCTTTTCAAGTAAAGTTACCAGTCTTACTTCCTTTTTGCATTACTTAGGATGCTAAAAGCTCAACTTTGGTGGGATGAAACCAACGATTAACAAACTCTACCATAAAAAAAAATCAAGTTTCGCTTTTATTTTATAATTCAGTCATTTATATTTAAATGTCTTGAAATATTCTTTGGTAAAACTATTGATTTAATTTCAATTTAAATATGAGATTCAAGTTTTCAAATTGTTCTTCATAGAAAAAAAAGATTGTAAAAGTTATTAAAAAATTGTAGTTAAGGAACGTAACTTCAAGTCAAAATTACATACCATTTTAATCCCGGATTAATTTTATAATGAAGTAATAAAGCCTGCCACCTGGCCATTTTCATCGTCACACCAGTTTTATGACGAACTTCGTAAAAAAGAATATAGGAAACCGCACTCAATGTTATTGGATTCTAGTGTTTCCGGATGGAAAAAAATTCTATCAACAAAATACAAATAAAAAAAAATAGAAAAATATTGAAAACTTATTTATGCCAAGTGAATGTATAAGCATGAGTTGTTTCATATCTTGCAATATTATTTTTTCCTAATAAAATATGCACATGCATATCGATAAAAGCATTTTGACAGAATCACATGCAATATGTATTTGTTTTCATCTTGAATATCTAAGTCATATCTATATATATATATATGTACACAAAATGTTGTGTCGAATTTCGTTACGGTTACATAGGTCCCATTTGTCATCATCAGGTCACCTCAAATTGGTTGAAATTAAAAGCAAACGTAAGCAAAACATCAACATGGGATGCGCGCATATGAAGCATTGATTTCAGTTTTAAAAAGGCCACGAGGCCTTGGCTTTTCATTTTTATATCCCTCTCTTACTGTCGATTCTCCTTCTTCTTTGCTTTAGAATTTTTCGCGAAAAAAGAAACAATAGAAAAATGTACATAAATACAAATAAAAGATCTTAATTGTTAAATGAAAAAATTCGAAATAAATTCCAATGTTTGTTTAAAAGAATTTTAAATTTGGATGATTGAATTAACAACTATGGAAAAAAGTCAAAACAGGGCCACTGCTTAGCTCGACTTTTATTACTCTTTTGTCAATTCATTCTATTTAACAATTTTCTGACTTTTCTTTCATGTGAAAATAAAAAGTTTTCAAGTATTGTAAGTCTCAATCGCAAGAAGATTCTTATCCTATAAATTTATAATAGTTTTCTGTTTTCTTTTCAGCAATTGATATGTATATAATCGAACTGACATTAATATTTAAAGTTTACTTCAGATTCTATTTTATTTACATTTATTTTTTATCATAGGATTCGCTTTTTTTTTTTTTTAATAGAACAGAAAAATACAAACAAATATAATAAAGTCGGCGAGCAACACTTGTTTTTCAGCAATATAATGGTATGTTTTACAAATATATATGTATTTTTTTATTTTGAGAGAGGTTTGTTTAGTGCAACAAATATCAATTTTAACTTCGTAGTTTACGTAGACAAGGAAATGGAGTTTTTATTACGTTTTCGAATTTAAAGGTTTCGAAAATATGAGTTGTTTGCTCAAAAAATTATTTATCAATGTTTGTGTGAAATTATTAAGTTACGATGTTTTGTGAATGTAATTTACAACTATGGGAACTTGGAAGATACGTAATATTATAACTTAAAGCTCATTCAAACTTAAGTTCATTTTGTGAAATAGGTTTTAAATGAAATGAAAAAAATGTTTAACATCCTAATGAGAAATATTTGTAAGGGAAATGTGCATTTAAATGTTAAAAAAATACGTAACAAGTGTTTTTTTTTTTTAAAATATTTAGTAAAAAAAAAATTTTCGATTTTATAGTTATTTTTTTATCATTAATTATTACTTTGAAGTTAAAAATAAACTTAAAAACGATAAGATGTAGAGAATTTTTCGCTAATTAATTATTTTATAATTTTCAGGGTATTTTATTATTAATTTCTTTCCAATACTTTAATTAATTTCTCAATGGAATAATTCATTATATATTTAAAGTTGCCACATATTAAATTAATATCAAGTTTAAATTTATTTTAACATTGATTTAATAAAAAATTTTTTAATGTTTAAAGATTATCATCTTATCCTTTATGATTTGTCAATCTATTTCTACATTTAATTTTTCAAATTTAACTTTTTATTATATATTAGCGCTTTTAATAGCAAATACTTCAATCGCCTCAAATTAATTACAGCATCTTAATAAAGTGTATTCTTAATCTGGATATATGCAGCACATAATCTAAAATGAAACCTCTCAACTTTGAAAAAAGTAAAATAAAATATATATTGAGCAGCCTAAGCCCATTAAAAATTTTTCTTCTTTAGTCTCAAGTAATTTTAGTATTTTTTGTCTAACTTTTAGATGGGAAAAATTATAAAATATATGATATATATGCAATTAATGATTAAATTAATGTCAATAATTTACAAAAAAGATTATCTGAGTATTTAGATTAAAATTTCTTCCTAGAATATACGAAATTAAGAATTGATACCAGAGATTTTAAAAGGATTATACTGCTTTTTTCCGTCATTCTTTATTTATCATTTTTCTGGCTGTTCTAGATATTTCAAGAATAAAATTTTATAATAAACACATTATTTTAAATTCAACCACATAACAAAACTATCACATTATTTAAGATATTTTATGATTGAATTGGAAATGTAAATGATTGCATTATCATTAATATTAAAAGTATCTCCACAATGTATCTATGACGGAAAATATGTGAAAATAGATATACACTAAGTAGACTAAAAAGAATTGAAACTTGAAGCGAGAAAGCTGGATGAAGAATAGGCGAATAGATTCGTATACCAAGCTGTAACACGAGAGCTCAGTGACCCGAGCCTGACCTGGTTTTATGCACCTCTCGAAGTTACCCTGCCCGTGGGATTCACTCCTAATTCCAATTTTCCTCTGTCAGATTTTTTACATGCTTTTTATCGTCAACATATCTAAAATCCATTTTACCATCTCATTGTTCATTCAATTACTTCTTCAATCTGCCCTTGAAGTCGTCGGCTTTTTTTTAGGTCCACGATTCAAACCAATTTACCTTCCATTTTTAAAAGAATTCGATAAATTATTCAGGATACTTGATAAATTAAAAATTCATATTATGATTTAATGAAAATACTTTGTGTGAAAAAGCAAATTTAAGAAAAGTGATATAAAATACGATTGGAATAATTTAATTGAAATTGTATAGAATTAAAGGTAATGAGAAGAAAAAGAAAATGTCCTAGTTTCGCAAGCTGGGCAATGTACCGATGTCATATAATATATATACATATATATATATATATATATATATATCTTTTGCTAACCTAGTTTTACCCGGTATGACCTGGTTTCTATCGGTCTTCGACCTGTTTTTGTGCCCTATATCCGTTGACTCTGTTTATCCACTTCTAACTATATTAAAATATTATTACTACAATATATCGATGAATTTTTATAGTTATCTATATAGACTTTTATTATTTACCACATTTACATTAATGAATTCCCTAATTTCCATTATGGAAAATGCATTTTTTCATCTGGATAATTATACCGTAGTGAAACAGGATTTATGGCTGCGACCATTCCAGATGTTTTTTCACGTGATTTACTCCGATAAGTTGAAGCTGATAGATAAAAAAAGAAAGAAGCACAAATAAATTATATAATAACGTATATGGTTTCCGTGATTGCCAATAACAGTGTGAAAAAAGAACGAAAATTGAAATACTATTTTATATAAGTAAAGAACAAAATAATAATATAGGAAATTGAATTGAAAATCATAACAATAACATAAATTTGATACAAATATGTTTTAATTGTGTACTTTGATTAAATCGTTCGGTAGTTAATATTTAATTTATTTTTTTCTTCTGTATTAAATTACTCACAATTGATTATTTAACTTCCGGTACAGAATTTAATTATTCAATGAGATGATTATGAAAGAATCATTTTCATTTTATTTACATAAAATATGAAAACCTTTTATTGAAATTCATCGAAATACTTGGTTAAAAATGACGTAATACTCAATAATAAAAGTCTTGTTGATTGTTTTTTTAAATCAAAATGAAATTCAATTTTTTCATTCTTCTTATTAAATTTCCAATCAGAAAATATAATTGCTAACAATTGCAGAATGCCCAATGAAAACACTGGAGTTTGTGACTGTGGAGTACCAGCGCTCCATAAAAAGTCCGACAACAATGGCCAGAGCTCGAAAACGAGAAATTCTAACAGCGGAAGCTCCAGTTCCGTGACTGAACCACCTAATACTAGATCCGCAAAAAACCATACGAAATCGGATAGAAGAATCAATTCTTCTCGAAGAACACGAAGTGCTCAACGACCTGAATCGCACTACACATATATTGGTAAGATAACAAAAATTGCTGGTTAATTTTATCGATGATTACCTTTTATTTTATTTATTTTCAATCGAGTTTTGATAGATATAGAGCAATGGTTGATAAATTTATCTACATATCAGATGCTGAATCAATGAAATTTTAGACTGAGAGAATCTAGTAATGCCATACGTTTAATTAATTATTTAACCATCAATGTCTGAAGCGAGAAATTTCAGAGCACCACAAGTACTTCTAGACTATTTTAATATTATATATTTCGAATAATGAATCGTTATTATGTAATTCATGAGATTTTGAATGAATAATTAATCATTTGTAAAAGGATTATATTAATTACAAATCAATGATTGAAAATTATGTGTTTTTGATACTAATGAAAAATAAACGAGAGGATTATTATTTATTAGTTTTTTATCATTAATAAACTCAATTATCAGTATTTATTGTTAGATTAATGCTATTTTCGAAAAAATAAATCTTTTATAAAAAACATAAATTAAAGGCTAACGTAAAAACAAACATGAATTGTATCTGTTTAATTTTTTCTTCTACTACTTGAAATAATAGCAGTGAAATAAAATGAGATTCTTTTAAATTGCTTTGGAATCAGAGCAGATAGAAAAGTTTTATTATTATTTCTTTTAAATAGACTCATTATCGTATTACCTTGTGAAAACTTGATAATTCAATTTCATTTGGATAATAATACAGGTCGTGGTGGATCAACTTAGTGAATAAAAATATTTTAATGTGAAATAGATAAACAGCAGTAATCAATATTTAACATTTTAATATTTTCTTACTGAATAAAATCATTAAATTTTTTCCTATTAATTATTATTACGGTTAAATATTTAAACAAAAAGGTTTACCAATATCGATATTAGATTCCATATATTGTTGTAGAATAAAAAAAATATTTAATCACATCTGACAGCTGTATTTCATAATTCATTTTTTCCGTTAATTACTTTTTTTTTGCATTTCTTAACAAGTATATTCAATCGAGCTGTCAAAGCAGAGGAGTCGTTTTTAGCATTATTTTTAAAAAAATTACTTAACATGAGAAAAATATAATAGGTAGATCGATTCTTTCAATAATAGTTGATATTGAATTGAAAAATAATGTGGTAAAGACTCACAATTCGATCTGATCATTAACGTCCCACAATATTCTTTAGAAATTCACCATAATAGAAATTTGAAGTCTCTTGAATTGTTTTCCTTTGTTTTAATATTTAGTATTAAATTTTATTTACTTAAAATTCGTAGATATTACAATTTTAATTTAGAGAAGTTATAGGGTAGCTTCAAAGTAGATCTTAGTTAGTTCCGGGGTAGATTAAAGATTTACACTAAGAAAATAATTTCAATATTTCTTAATTATTATTTACATCTCTCACATGGATATGAAGATATTAAAAAGTATAGACTAAAATCGTAACAATAAGCAATTTTTTCTGTTAAAAATACCAATAAAAAAAACCGTAGCATTAATTGATCGAAAATTTGTTGCTGCAACAAAAATTTTTTTCTAATAGCAGTTGGATAAGAAAATAAGTACGATACATTACGACAACGATTGTTTTATTTTAAAAGATTTACTGTAATATTCATCATTCGAAAGGTTTTTCATTTTCTTACATTCCATAGGGCCGTTAGTATCGCTTCAACTACTACTACTTCATTTCTTTCAGACTCCAATTCAAGCTACGTTAGCGGATCTCGTTCGTCTGTGGAACATGCCTATGCAACAATACCAGACTTGCTGAACACAAGTAGAAATGCAACTACTATTAATGATAATCATTCACAAAGCGCCCACGACTGTCCCCAGCCAGTTTATTCAATTCCTACAATGACATCACCACCTCCTACATATGACGTCGCAATTAACAAATCATGGCAGGTATGATAACTCAAATAATTCTTTAATTTATATTACACGAAGTAAAAAAGTGCGAAATTCGTTACTACCTGTCATAAAAAGCGAAAACTTGTAAATATTCATTGGAAAAAATCTCGTTAATGTATGTATGATTATGGGCGGACTGGAATTTGATTGTTGTCACAATTTATCCTAATGCATATGAATTTATAGATAAATAACCACCGGTGCATATGTTATGGGCTTATGCAGGTTATAAATAAATGGAAAGAGAAATTTTTCAGTTGAAAAATCCAATTATTCAATTTAAAAAAAACATATTTATTAGCTGAAAGCTTCGGGATTTTCTGTTCATAAATTGCATCAAAAAACCATTTAAATTCAGTGAGAAGCTCGGAATTTGTAGTTTCTATTGAGATGTTAAAGTTGAAGGTTAATTAATATTTTATTGTCACAGGAAATACATAAAATACAATTCTTTCTAAACTAAAACCTCTAAATATATTCATTAAAAATATTTTTCTTTATCATAGAATAAAAAATAAGAGGATTAAAAAAACTTGGAATAATTTAATTGATATTTAATTTTTAATAAAGTTTATTCCTTTAAAATCAAATCATAAAGGATCATGGAACTACACGTAAAGACAATCAATTTTCCTTTTTAATTCTTTTATAAAAAATTTATTTTCAATAAAGAAAAAGCTATTCAATAATATTTATTATTGTAATAACAATTAATTAATTGATTATTAAATATTCACCCTATCATCACTTTATGATCGAGTGCATTTCAGCTTAATTATAAAAGACTAGATTAAATACTAAAAACTTTATTCTCTACCATCAGTTAAATAATACCCCTATGTGACAGTTATGCCCGTATTTCTCCTAGCTAATGATGAAAAATTTTTCATTTTATAAACTAATATCCATCTTTCTTTCCACGCTTTAATTTATTTCAATTACCTTATCAAATTTCAAAATTAATTCATCAAATTTTCATGCCAACCTAAGAAAAAGTGATTCAATATGGCTTTTAGTACTAAAAAATGTCGTAATCTAATTAAAAAATTCCTTATCAGCTTCATTCCTTATTTCTCTTTTATACATAAAAATTTCCAATAAAATTTTACTGAATAGTTTGAAGCCAAGACTTCATTCTCTTCTTCATACCATAAATCTTCAAACTCTCATTGAAGTTTTTCTCCACTTTCTTATTCTTTTACTGTTAAAAATGGTCTGAATTTGAAGGCTGAATTATAGCTTGTTAAAGCTCGAAACCAAGAAACGTGTTTCAAGTTCAGTACGTGACTCAAACTTCTTGAGTTAGCGAAGCAGTAGAGGCAGTACGCAACTGATCAGACTCAGAAGGTTTGCTACTTTTCACTTTGCTCTACTACAGTCGATTTAACTTGATTATTTCAGCACTTTAGCAATTTTCCACAAGAAATATTGCATAAACCTTAAGAAAATTGATAATTAATCAAAATTTACTATGATTACAGACAGGACTGCCACCATCTTATGAGGATTATCTTTGTCATAAATATGCCATGCTTTCACGATCTCACACACCACCACCACCCTGGTCAGATTCAACGCCATCTAATAATCATCGACAAGATTCATTTGTTAATCAAACGGATCCTCATGTTTATGCAGACTATACTTATAATAATACAATAAATTCAAAAACTTCAAGAGCATTGAAGACACATGTAAAACAGCAAAAACTGCGAGCCATGAGCCCACGGTAGGATCAAAGACTAGTATATTTGAAAGAATTTACTTTCAATATAAAATGTTTTTGATATAATTAGTTGATTAATTTGTTTTTTATGTAAAAAAAATTATTAGAACTAGATAAAGCTTTATTCGCAACTATGTATTTGAAAAATTTTCTTTATTTGATATCAACTTTCTTTATGGTAAAATGAAATACATATATTCAATATTTCCAATGAATTGAACAAATAAAGTATATTATATTCAGTCTTTTTATTCTTTGTGGAAAGAAAAAATCGGATTCCAATAAATATTGAAATTATTAAGTTGAAATATCTTACTACTGAAATTATTTATTCATTTTTTTTGCTATAAAGAAACTGGAGAAGAGTTTTTACTTTTACAGAGGCTTTTAAAGTGAATAAAAAATTAAGGAATATATTTTTCATCACGGTCATAAATGATAAAGAAAAAATAAATGGTTTCAAAGCTAAAAAATTTTAACTTTAAAATGCCTCTTACTTTATTAAAATTTGATTACTTTGCACAAAGATCCAGCTTATTAAAATTAACCTTCAAAATTTTTTGAAGATTTTAATTCAAAAAATGTCGTTTATAAAAGAAAACTTATGACAATTTTAGCTACATTGACAATCAAAATTACACGTTTCTCGATGAAAGTAAATGACAAATATGAAATATTAGAAAATAGTATTATGTCTCTATGAGTAAATATACTAACTATGTGCTTTATATTTTAGGTCATTAAGCGAAAGTCGTGCTCAACAAGAAAGGCTTCGGCTCTACCAAGATGAAGCATTCTGCATGGAAACGACGGCTATCCAGTCAGCCTTTGAACATGACCTAGTTTGCAATCTTATGTAAACTTAGGTCATTTAAATAAGATGGACAGGTTGAATAGAATTTGAATGTTGATTCAATACCAATAAATTAATTCATAACTATTATTTCAAGCTTTTTGCAGATTATCTTAGAATATCGTCAACAACACTATGAAATATGTTCTGGCTGGTCCAGACAGAAGCTACTACTCTGTTCCAAATATTTTTTTATATTATTTCATAGTTAGTTGGTTCCCTTATATTCCATTGAAAGTAAAAACGTGAATAACTATATCGAAAGTGTAAGCAATTAATCAATATACAAGAGAAAAAATTATTTTGAAACATAAAAAGTAAGTCAGATATGAAATTATTTTAATGGAGATTTTTAATGTAAAACATTGAGTATATGTCTGAGGGTAAAAATTATTTTCGTCTTGTTCATAATAAATTCTACACTAAAGACACTTTTTATTCAATAAAAGTCCAAGTAAAATATGCTTTTGAAAAGCAAATAAAAACTATTCAATAATTTCGATGGATTTGCATAAAATATTTCTTATTGACAGCTGATCGATTATGAATAAGATGATAATTTTCAAAGTAAACTAAAGCTATATTGGAAGCTTCAGTAAGATAATTTCGATGTTTAAAACGATTTTTTCTCACTACCTAAAAAAATGGCCTCTAATGTTTCGTAGATTTAGAGTAAAAATTAAATTTGAAACAGTACTTCTTATTCAAATAAGACTACTTCATTAGTCTAGAAGATGTGTTCCCATTGTATAGACAGTTTATGATGCATACTTGACTCTATGTCATATTTGATATTAATAATCATATACTGTGTTACCATGTCGACGAGCTTAGTAATAAATGAACGACTGGCGTAGAGTCTGGTTCTAACAAATGAATCAATGTAGGAAAAACTATTGGTGTTGAACAATGTATTTTATTTTAGTTGTTGTGAGTTAATTATAAAATCATGAATCAACTTAAATAATAATTGGCAAAAATTTTGTAATGACAACTATTGGTGTCTTAGCTGCTAAACATTTTTGTCTCGTAACTGTAATTATCTTGTCAAAGCGCACACTAATTCCGTCAATGGTATGATGGATTTTATTGAATAAGCATTATTCCACCGACGTAAGATTAAATAAGAAAAATAATGTCAAGAGAAAGAAAAGATAATTTTATATCAAAATTATTCAACCTTATAAATCGAATGGGAAAATATGTTCCATTATTTCCATTAAACAATTTCTTATTTCTTTGGTAATAAATCAAAACAATAGAATTTAATAAATATACATTATATTCAATATCAATATATTCAACATAAAGTAATTTTAAATACCATTATCAGATTAAAAATAAAATGTATTCACTGATTTATAAACCAATGCCAATAAAAAAAAGCTCCTTATAAGAATTGTTTTTTTGTTACAATTCAAACGCGATTAATTAATAGATTAACAGTCTAAATATAATTATGTTAAAAAGCTTAAATATTATTATTATATTTTCTATTGTTAACTTCCCATTAGGAAGTTATTGTAATTGGGTCGATTAATGAAATTTGAATTCTCATCATATCTTCACATTTTAAAATATTTGCAAGCATATTGACCAATTTTAAGAATGATGTGTGTACGTACGTACGTATGTATGTACGAATGTCAGCATTTTTTTCGTTTTCGATATCTTAAAAATGGATCGAGATATCAACTTCAAACAAAATTTATTCGAAAGATATAAAGAAGATTTAAAAAAATTTGAACAAATTCGGTCGAACCGTTTTTTTTATAAAAAAAAACTAGTAAAGAATAAATGAAAAGATTAACTATTTAAAATACTTGTAAATGAAAGAATAACAATTTCATTCGCAAATTATTGGGTTGTTTCATAACTTTTTGCCACTTTTAATTGTTAGTCGAACATTTTTTAGGACTCCCAGCCTTCTTCGGTTTGGAATAAGGAATTTGAAATATTGAAACTTTGCTCAGTAGGTGGCTGACTATAGTTGATAATGAGAGAGATTACATAGTTTACTAAATACATCTTTATTAATTAGAACATGATAATACTAAATTACTTTTCGCTGGCAAGGATTTATGGTACAACCCAATAAGTCGATATTGACTGGACATTATTGTTTACAACCAAATATGACTTTCAACAATTACGTATTGTTTATAACAATGTGAATTTGTTATGAACAAATATTAATGGGAAGTTTGTCGCGTTAGCACAAACAAAGTGTGCTCAGACCTATTTTTGATTATTATTTGAAAACTGATACAATTAATTGTATGAATTATTTTTTGATATTTTATATTGTTAATTATTCCTTTATCATTAATAATGTAATGGCATTATTAGAATTAATTGTCTGTATTTATGATTAAGATAATTGTATACTCTTAGACTTAGAATATTTAAATACTTATAAATTGATAAATTTATTGCTATTTTATGACCAGACTTTCGCAAAAAATTACTAATGCATCAGAAAGTAAAAATTGCCAAATCTTGTACAAACGTACAAAACATCCAGACTAGATTTTCTTTAAAGCCATTAACAGTACCCTGAAGTCAATTTACAAATGAACACCAGTACAGTACTGCATGTATAGATACACAGAAGTATTAATAATAACGTGTATTAGACAGTGAAAAACTCGCTGGAAGATGGAACTGAAAAGAATTGAAAATTATACGAAAGAATAGTGATTGATAATGAAATGATAAGTATTTTTGCTATTGCAAATTTGATCACTGTATGATGAAGAATCGAACTATGAAAAGAGTTCTTACTCTGCTTGAGAGAAATAAACATTGATTTTGTTGAAAAAGTAAAAAAATTAATATTGTAATATACTTATAAAATTATTATAAAATTATCGTTGTGTAAATTGTAAATGTTTAGAGGACCAAAAACCGTAACTCAATCAATAAATGGAAATTAAATGTTGACCTTCTCATCTATCATAACACCTATATTTCAATTATACAGATTGATAATCAATCCGAAGATACTGATCAAATTTTCATAACCACGTTCGGTAAATGAATAATGAATAAGTTGAAATAAAATAATATACACACAAAACAGTAAAATTTAAGAGCTAATTCTATAATGGGTAAAAAAATATGGGACATACCACTTGGAATTTTGCTGTTTTTTTTGCATATCTTAAAAATTTTACAAGTGTCTTCATTTGATTTAATTATTCTATTCTTCAATACAAGTTTCATATCATCAAAAAATCTGAATAACTTTTTATTTAAATTAGAAAGTTGAATACTATTTATGAAAACCAGATCCAAATAAATTAATAAACAGTCGATCAATTAAAATTTTTCTATATCAAACTGTCAGTTTTTACATTCTTGCAATTTTTTTGGAAGAAATGTCATCCGAGAACCGTTGGAAAATGTATAATTCCAGAGATGGGTAAACTGAAAATTCTTCGTCGTATTAGGTAAGAATATACGAATAGCCAACATTGATTAATTGTGTTGTAGGCTTCTGGGTAATTGAACGATTAAACATCATTTGTAAATTACGAATATTCAAATGAACATCAGAAATAAATTCAAATTTATTGTGAGCAGAGTGAATTATCCAGATAAACTAAAAAAAACATGATAACTATGAAACAATTACCCATAACTATAAAAGATACTGGGTAACCGGGGACAGAGAAAATAGATGTACATAGAAGTTTAATGCTGTGATCTGTTTCGGGATCATACCAGGCCACCACAACCGTGTTAAACTCCTACCTGGCTCCATAAAAATACATACTAAATTTTCGGTACACATCAGCCCAATTGATATAAACTTCGATTTGCATCTCTCTCATCTGCCAGGAAGTAGAAACTAGCTAAACGGTAGGTACCTTAGTAGCCGACTGTTGGAAATTTTGCACAGTGATTCTATACAGAATGTTATCGAACATTCAGCTGCACAGTTGATCGAATTTACAGACGATTTCTAATCATTTCAATACTCGGAAGCATAGAATGCAATCTAATTTTCAATAAATATTAGCTATTTGTACGAGAGTATTCACATAAACTATGTAAAAATTAAAAATTACTATTTTAACGACAGGTGATAAAAAAAAACATTGGAAATAATTCAAACGTATAAAATTCATGTCACTTTGTATTTTTATGACAATATATTCATTGTACATAATAATATAATGCATAATATTGATTGATACTGATTAAATTTAATATTACTATTTTGTTGTAACACAATGTTATCATTAACCCATTAATGCCCAAACCTGTAATATCAAAACTATTCATACATCAAACTAACTTTTAAGGGATGACATAATCACGAGTTTATTATATCTAAATTTATGTGTCCAAATGGACAACGTGAGAATTTATGGATTAATCAATGAAAAAAAAAACAAACAGATATCAATCCAATTTAAATAAAAAGTACACATAATATTTCGTGATAAAGGTTGTGCATATTAAGTTTATAGATACAGTAACTTCAAACAAAATTGTATTACATACATATTCAAATGTTTAAATAAGTAATTCAGTGTGTCAATGAATAATGCAGAAAATTAAAAATTTTTATAAACAGTAAAATGAACAGGAAAATTATTTTCCCAGAAAGCGAATTATTCAGACATCACAGTTATTTTTGTAATTTTGCTTTTTTTCGATAATTTTTCATGAAAAATATTCTTTATAAGTGAACTGTTACTTTTCTTTTCTTCGACAAGAAAAGCCTTCACATGTTTTTTATTTTTTTTCTTGAGCCGAAAATTACACTTTCGTCCCAAAATATTTTCAAAAAGAAAACAAATGAATGCTAAGCATAATCCAACACTCAACAAAATAAAAGCAAATATGATATTTTTTAACGAAATAACCTGGAATTTTATTTCAGATCGTACTTTTTCTTTGACTACAGTTAAAATATTCTTTTTATTTTCTACTTTTTTCAAACGATTGAGAATTTGCGTCTCTGTCATAGTCATTATAGCCCAATCAAATTTTTCACTTAAAGGAAACCGTGGTTGATAAGAGTAAGTTTTTGGAGATTCAGAAAACTCTTTACTAAAATACCAGTTAGGCCATTTAAACATAGGATGTGTCGCAAAATAAAATGCGCTATCTTGAAATACTAAACAAACTGATTTTGGATCCTTTATAGTATTTTGCATACATTCAATATCCGAATTTGGTGGGACTGATTTAGATTTTAATAATTCTTCAATTTCATCATTTTCATAACTATAACTAAATTTATATATTTTTTCGATCCGTGGATCAGTCAGATCTTTTACTGAATCAATGTTTTTCCGCAAAAGAGGTATTGTTAAGAATTCAGCTAAATGACCACTAAATGTTGCATGTATAACTAGAAAGTATATAAAAATAACACTAAAAAATATTTTAAGTGGCAAAGTATTTATTGATACAGAAATTCCTGAATTTATTAAAAAACGAAGTATATCAAATGTGGCAATGGAAATTTTTTTATTTGCCTTAATCCATATCACAATAAAACTGATTATAAGAATAATAATAAGAGAAATGAGTGTCCACAGCCCATAAAATTCCCCAATTCGTTCTAAAGGTGTAAAAAAACCTTGATTGTGCGAGGCAATTACATAGGATCCATAGTTACTAGGAAAAGATGGATCTCCAAAACTAATACCTTTTAGGGAATATTCCACAAAATGTATATCAGTATCAGATTTCCTACCGTTCGTTAAAAAAAATAGAAACTTAAACTGTAACAACTTTCTAAATGAGTCAACATTATCTTGATAAACAGGGTGCATTTTACGTTTTATAATTTCTGAATCATAAAAACCTTCACGTGTTGAATGCATTGCTATTCCTTTCAGTATTTCTCTTCTAAGTCTCAAGACAATATAATTGTGTGGAGCAATCGTGGTCTTATTGAAAACAAATCCACGACATTCAGCATCTATTTGTGAAATAATGTTTAATTAAAATTTCAAAACATCCGAATATAAATTTTCTAAAAACTTCACATATATATGTAGAGTTTATTTGTATTGATTATGTATTGAGTCACTTACCGGTTTGTAATGGTCGACGATAAAAAGTCCATTCATTTTTATTGAATAATTCACGTTTAAATACTTGCCAAAAAAGTGCTGTAGTGTTTCCATATGGATTATAAGTGCACGGAGAAAAAATTCCAATAAAAATTACCGTGCTCAGCACAACAATCCACGCGCAAATGTCAATTCCCTAAAAAATTAAGACAACCTTCAAAGAAAAATTAGTAATCCTTTTAAAATTTTTATTATAGATTCAATATTTATTAAGAAGAGTAAAAGTAAAAATTCTTATGCAGCACGGTAATATTCGATAAATATTAATTTTTATTCAAACTTTAAACAAAAATTAGTAAGTGACTAGAAAAAAATGAGAATCTGTATATAATTTATTATGATCCGTGTGGTAGGAAAAATTCGGGTGCTCTCCTATAATTTTTTCTATTCTCGAGAGTTTCCGTGCTGGGTCGGGAATCTTCGAATTATCGGTCCAACACAATCTTTCTTTGTATTGTAAGACCGTTCACACAATCAAAAACATAAGCCGTAAAACGTACAATTTAAGACGTACGCGTGCATACTAACATCATAATAAGTTAAAAATTGGTTTGTACGCATGCGTACATCTTACGGCTTTTGTTTTTGATTGTGTGAACACCCTCAGTGCTATAGTTACTTTTTCCATATTGTAAACAAAGATGACATTCATATTTTTCGTTACGATTCAATATTGGCGGCAACACGTTATATCTTAACAATTTATGATAAGCTTAAACGGATTGACGCGGTGGACTCATGGGTAAGCGTCAGCTTGACACACGATGGGTCGCGGGTTCGAGTCCCGGCCGAGACAAAAGTCATTTATATGATTTTTCTCGGGCCACCGTGAGCGGGAGAGGAAGATCTCTTCGGAGAGCCGGGTGGTTGTATCGACGACACAGGTTTTCTGCGTAAGATCCCGATCGTAGGGATAGGGGGGGGGCAGTATTGTAAAACGTGTGCCGTATTTCATTCCAACGAATTAATTAGTTAAGAAAGTTAATTATCAATGAACCTAATTTATTTATTTATTTGTTTATATAACCAAAAAAATTATCACTAAACTTAAATAAAATTGTTTGTCGGTTACGTAGTTATCACAGCTAACGTTACTAAATTTTCAGGTGCTGTGGAACACTAAATTTTCTGGTGCTGCCAAAGTAATTTTCAAAAAACTGAATGATACATTTTCTTATGTAACTTATAATTTTTGTATGTTGATCATTACTTTTTACTTTTCAGTAAGTTTGAACTCACATTCTTGAGCAGCACGGTAATTTTTGTATGGATTTTTAAATAAAAATTAACGGAATTTTTTCTCCGTGTGTATACAACAGGTCTTGAATGATTTTCAAAACAAAAGTAATATATATGTGTAGCGTATATGAATGAAATTTCTTTAAGGACTTTAATTCCATTATTACATGCTTCACGAGGTCTAGGAATAAAAAATATGGAGCATTGTTTCTTACACTTCCATATGCTCGAAATTTCCGTAATTAAATCTGATAATTTATTCGTTTGAGCTCCAACTATTACTATTCCTTGAGTTTCAGTTGTTTCTAATTGTTTATTATACAGATTTTTATTCAAGTTTGATGAAATAGTCAATGCAAATTTCGGTTGTAACACTGAAAAATCTTCGTAAGTCAATGAATATTTGTTGTAATCATAGATAATTAAATTTTTCATTTCAAGTTCACATTGCTTCAATACTTTAATCTAGAAAAAAGGTTTTTTTTTATAATTTAGATTTATTACTGGCAAGTATAACACACAATTTATTGTCTACTTACGATATGACGATGTAAATAAGTAGATCGACTGAGTGGTTGATGTAATTTTATATTAGAATTTTTTGACAAAGAAATTAAAAAATAAAGAATACATAGTAATAACAATATACGATAATACTTTAACATTTTCATAACATGAAGATACAATAGAGTATGTCACAATGTCAATGCATATTTGAAAGTAAGAATATTCAATACATTCTATTGAATTGTTTTGCACATATTGCGTTATGAAACATAATCATTAGTAATAATAATTTATTTATATCTGATAATAAAATGAAATTATTGGAATATACTATTTTATATAGGTATAATGTTATAAAATCATAGTGAATTCCGTGAAAGATATCAAACATAATTTAAATTCAATTTGTTACACATAATTTTTTCTGTGCTAGGCATTACTAGAAAAATAAAAGAAATTATCTTTTCTACATTAAATAATATGCAATAAAAAAAAAAGTAAATTAAGAAAAAACAACGGTTTACAAAGAAAATTTGTTTGAACTAATTATCGACACATAATTTGTCATTATTATTGTTTGTTGATAACGTAGATATTGAAAAAAAAACAATCTGTGGTAACTACTCTTGCTTTTTACTCACATGATAACTGATCAAGAAATAAAAATGAATTGTTCGCTATTTTACCGATTTAATTAATTAAAATAATTATGTTAATTAAATTTTTTCTTCAATAATTGGAAAATGACATTACGTGTTCAGAATATCATTATGTTGACAAAAGTATATTACTTGCTGTTGTTGTCATTAAAAAAAATTTTCAATGTTCTGTGAGAAAAAGCATTATTAGTTCTGTCCTAAAATCATACAAGTATTTTAATTTTCAATTCTTTCCTGTGAAAATAAATCTCTGTATATTTTTTTATTTATTAAATTTTATTAAGCCTAATGACAAAGTATATCTAATAATTATTTATTTTTAATAACTAATTATTTTAAAAAAATGATATCCCAAAAAATTCGAGCATTTAGTAATTGATTCTCATTATCTTAGCTTTTGAATAAAAATAATTGGTAATTCATTTTTTTATAATATTACTGCAATCTAATTAATGAAATGAAAATTTTTTTCTAAATTTATTCATGCAGCTGCTGTCACAAAATTCATAAAGATACTTCAAAAAATCTTTTTACTCTAGTCGTATCGTTATGTAAATGTAATGGAAAAATTCAAAAGATAGATTAGGACATAAAACAGTTAACATAGAATATTAAAAAACCTTCACGAGAAGTTGAAACCTGAGTAGACAATTACCTGAAAGGGGAGTCACTTGGTAAAGCTGATAACCAGGATTCAGAAGCTAAGAAGGGACTACTACTCCGGTCAGTTTTTCCCCACTTAACCCTGAAGGAGGAGGAAAGCTTGCGTTCTTTCACTGCGCACACGGCGCCACGTTTCATCGAGCGAATTACCGCGGGCAACAGAGAAGACAGGATGATATTGCTGGATGATAGACTGAGACAATAGAATCATGAAGGCGTTGCTATTCCACGGCCTTTAACCATATCCAGCAGATGTCGTCCCTTTTACAGATCTTGAGGGGCCTGGCGGTGATACCACGGGTGTTTCCCTTAAGATCAACGCCCCGAAACGCCCCTCGCCAGCCCTCCAACTTCTCTCACCAGCAGACGATCCGCGACAACCAAGTGGACAACCAGCGACGGACGTACCACGCTCCGTTCTATTATCGCGTACACGTTTGAACCCGGTTTTCGTTGCTCCAGTCTTGATCAATCGTTTCTGGAGCCTGCATGTGGACGTCAGTGAGTTTCATTCAGGTGTTGAATCTATTGTGATTCATGATTTATTTAAAAGACTGTTGTGAAGTGCTAAATTACTCTTAAAACACTCAATAACAGTGATCTCACAAAAACAAAAATACTTCAATCCACTTAATTTTGTTCATTTATTGATTTTAGCCATTTATTTACTAATCCTATTAGAAACGTGAATTAAAAATAGTGATTGGTATGCTGCAAGTGTTGTTAATGCAAATAATATATATAAAACATGTGACTGAAGTGAAGATACTCAACTAAATTATATCAATTGTTAAAAATAATAATATCTAATTGTGGATTAATTTAAAAAAAAAAAAACAATCCTTATCAATGATTAACGAAGATGAGAATAATTCTGGTATTGCTAAAACAATGATAGTCGGTATGGAGGTTGAAGAGCATTTTAGTTTAAGAGTATCTCATCTAGATGATGATAGTGATAGAAAGATCGAACGAAATAAAAAAGAGGAATCCGAGTCTGATTGTGAGAGTGAGACAAGTGAAGTCCTGAGCGTCGGCAGTGAGCCAACGCCCGCGGCCGATAACTTGGTAGTTGAGATCAAAGACTGTGAAATGAGTTATTCGCCACCAAATCCGTCTTCCAGGTTGGAAAACAGGACTGAAGCTATCACGAATTCTGTCAGCTTGTCGTCGTCAAGAACACCATCTCCATCACCATCGAGTGGTTCAGCTAGCAATCAACCTCAAAGTCCTCAAAGTTTATGCAGTCTTCAACAACAACCATCTCCAACAACATCAGTAAGATCTCCAGCATCATCAAATGCCACAGCATCATCTCCCAGCCAGACAGATGTCATTCATGATGCTGCCATTGTCTCCAGGTACCCGATGACTTCACTTCATCAACAACACTTGTTGTCCAGGTATTCTAGAGATTCTGATCATCTAGCAGACTACTCATCAAGCACCAGAGTGCCTCCTCTTGGTCTGAACCATGAAGTTAATTATCCTCCTCAGAGGCTTCACATTAGCAATGTTCCCATGGTAACAAGACTCTCTCTATCGCCACCATCATCAGTTCCAAGCCTTCAAGCAACCCCTTCTATTTTTCGTCCAACATGTCGAGATCCACGAGAATCATCTCTTCTTCTTCATCCAGTACATCTGGCCAGTTCTCATCCTCTTCTGCAAAATACTCCCCAAACTCACGCGACGGCGTCTCTTTTTCACCACCACCAGCAACATCATCCACATAAGGAGAATCAACACATAGACCAACATCGATTGTCACTTAATAAAATGCTCCAAAACTTATCAACGAGGGAAAATAAAAGCCCATCGCCGGTTAATCCCGATGATGAAGAGGCTCGTGGATCTCTTACTGGAAACAGTTTGCAAAATAATAGTCATCATCATCATCATCATCGAAATAATACAAATAATAATGATCTGCAGGGAAACTTGAAATTCAGCATAGATAATATATTAAAAGCTGATTTTGGTAGAAGGATAACTGATCCGATATCATTAAAGAAATCTAGACCGAAAAAAGTTGCTCAAAAACCGATTGATCTCACCAAAGACTTTTTGGAATCTTCGTCGGAAGGTTCTGATAAGACGTCGGAATCAACCAGTAGTAACACATCGACAGGAATACCTATGGATACATCCACAAATAATGGTAGTGCCCAAAGTACACCTGCTGCTGATTCTTCCAAACAGATGCTCTGGCCAGCGTGGGTTTACTGCACTCGATATTCGGACCGGCCGTCTTCTGGTGAGTTTAAAATTCATAATAAAACTTCCAAAACAATAAAATTATTTTACCAAGTTGTAAATATTAAGAGAAACCATTTTCCTGCTGTGTTGAAGTGGTTTAATTGATTTATGTGGATGATAATTAATATCTTATTAGTATCTCATTGATTAATGGTTATTAAATATACGTGTAATTAAGTAGAGATGATGAATAACGTGATTGAACTTGAGTTTAAGGAAATATTATTATAAAGAAAATTAATTTACCTCCCTACTGTATCTGCTCAATATGCTGTCTGTTTGAAACCCACATTGTACCACATTGTAGATATTGTTTATCTTTAATTATTTTCTAAAACAACTAATCATAACTACTAATTCGTTTATGACTATAATGGCTTTTCATTTCAAATGGGGATCTTTTATTGTGTTTGTGCAATTAACACTCTACATTTATTATGGCTTTGCTATCATACAAGAATTTAAAGTCGATCGTAGCCGCTTGAAGTGATATAATAACCGGAATAATGGAAAAGTTAAATTGATATTTTATAACGAAAGTGCAATTTCAATTTAATGTCTTAATAAACATAAACAAACATTTATTTTTTATCTTTTAAAATATTTTTTATCGTTCGGCTATTTCGATGCCTTTTATCAAAAAAAAAAAAATTGTTCAAGAGTTCAATGCTCCTAAATATTATTTATTCATGTATTTTATCAACCATATCGTTTTAAATAATAAAAAATGTATAAAATCAATTCAAAAAAATGTTAGATGCCAGCGATATTGTTATTGTGTTAAAAAATATTTATATTTACTTGAAAAATATTACAAACTATTTTAAAAACTGAATGTAGATTAAACAATATATATTAAAAAGTTGAAGTAAAAGTAAATAATGAACGTATGGGTTGGAAAAAAAATTTACTCCAAAAAAAGGTTACATTAAAAGGTCAATATAAAGCAATAAAAGCAAAGCAGATCTCGTTAAAATCTGATCTAAAAAAAAAGACGCTCATTATCATACATGATAACAAAGTTGAGTGTATATATTAGCATGTTTTAACAAACGAGATGCACGTTAAACATGTTCTTCTATAAGTTTATTATAGAAGTGAATTCTTAGAATTCTTGTATACGAAGCCAGAGGGATATGTATAACATCCGATTTTCTCATAACAGTCTAATATTTAATTGAGCAAAAGATCGTGTCATGTTTGAAAGTGTTAATCGTGATTATTTTGTTGCTGTTGATGTGTAAGTCAAGAAATATATAGTAAGCGAGAAGAAACGAGACACGAAAGCCAGGACAGAAGTGAACCTGTCGTCGGGTCGTGACGCGACAACAAGCGAAGCCTTTGCATGGTTCGGTTTACGAGTTAGTATAAACGACTTCAAGTTAAGAGAGTAGGTGGTAGGTGTGTAACGATCCTGCTTGAAAGGAAGCCTAAACATGTGTGGGCCTACAAAAGAGAGTAGGAACTTATTCTTTTACAGACACGTGGTCACAATAAAAGAACACACTTGGTAAAAACGTCACACATTCTGTCAACAATTTGAATATAAACTTCAATACTTGACATGTAGAAACACTAAATCAACTTTAGTGTATGCCAATCGGTAATAAGATCGGAGAAAAAGCGTTCAAGTAATAATTTATCGTAATTGATTCATGATTTCCTCGCTAACTTTTATACGGTTACATATATATTATCGATATTATGAAATTTAGTCAACAACCATCAAGAAACCATCATGACTGTTCTAGTTTAAACTGTTAACGCTTGTAATTGATAATCATGACCCAACTGTGCTTTCTTATAACCTAAATTTATAATTAATCACCTTTAGTCAGATATTTCATATGATTCATGGTTATTTTGATTTATTTAGATTTTCGATTGAAGTAAATAGATTATAAAACTCAAACTAAAATCAAAACTTTAAATTTGTTGAAAGAATTACTTAGCAAATAACAAAAAATTATTCTTTAAAAAATTATTCCTCTTTTCCTTACTTAGTCCTTCAATAAATTTATTCAAATATATATATATATATATATAGCAAAATTAAATACTCTAATGATTTTATTTTATAATCATTTGCAGTGCAGTATTATTTATTGTCGTTTGAAGAACAATAAAAATATATTCAGAATAAAAAATTTGATGTAAAACCTCCTATTTAGCAATAATCACTTAACAACTGAATAAAATATTACTTAATAATTTTTATTATTATTAATAGTGCATAAAAGTTATTTATTGAAATGTTTTGTGGAATAAAAAGATTGAAATACATGTAAATTATTAAGAATTGTTATTCTAATGGACGATAAATTTTAATAAAGCAATTTTTATTAAAAAAAAAAAAAAAAATACAGATGTTGGAGGATATCAAAATGATCTTTGCAACGATTTAACAATGAAAATGTTTGTCTTGAATAATTAAAAAGAAACATTGAAACATAAAATTGTATAACGCTCGTATGCCGGTTTAGTTGAAACGCGAAAACGGTTAACGAGCTGATCTCTATTACTGCAGCCAACGTCTCCCGCAGTTTCATCGCTCATTGCAATCAGGATGAACGACTGCTTCGCAGACAAGTCGTCGTCTCTCCGTTTACGGTCGTATCGTAGAGAGATACTTTCAACCGAAGATGTCTACGCAGACATACGTTTGCGTAATCAAACTCTCTGCAAAAATAAGTTGAGGAATAGATAAAGATACAAAAAACGATTCTATTTTTTTTTTTTTAAATCAATCCAATTACGTAATTACTCCGTAAATGAATTGAATCTACCATGAAATAATCTCGAAATCACTAATATGGAGCATGAAATAACTTGTTTAATATTCATCTATTTATAGGAAGAATGATAATAAAAGATGTTTACATTCATTATAATTAATAAAAACTCTTCCTATTAACTAATTTGTTTAAATAAATATTTCTTTCTTTTATTATTTTTTTTTTTTAATTATCAATACATGAATATCTCAGTTAAATAATTCATAAATAAGATTTTTAATATTTTTTCTTTTTTGAAAATGACAGTTTAATTAAATAAATTTTCATTGCAATTAGGTTCACTTTAATTCAGTTAACAGCAACCAATAAAAGAAGTTGTTTTTTCATTTTTAGAATTTTACGGAATTTATAATTGTCGAAGTAGAGGTAAGCACCCCTTTTCCGTAGGATTTAAAATTTGTTAAAAGTAACAATTGTTACCATTTGTGCTCCATTTTGTGAATAGAAATAACTGTGATACAATTAAAATTTATAATAGTTGGAATAGAGAAATATTAAAGATTTATATGTGTAAAAAAATAAAAAAGTAGTGACATAAAATCATGTTTGTTTTGACTTTTCTCTGATGAGTTTAACAGAAAAAAAATAACATGAAAGCAATAGATTAAGCTATTACCGACATTAAAGTCTTAGCAATTTTTTATACGCAATATATACAGTACATAAAGTTTCAAAATAGATTTATTTTTTTTTTTACTAAACATTTAAAAGATAAATTCAAATAAAGTTTGTGTCATGATGAGTATCGAATTACCTTAATGATGGGAGATATCTAGAAAAAATAATTTTAGAAAATTTACATTATTAAAAAATAGCAAATATACTTGAGGATACATTTTTGAGGTAACATCAATGTTATATAAAATCATTATAAAAATTTATAGAGATTTTTATTATGTCTACATCGAAAATTTAATTGAAATATATGATTTTTAATGGTTATTGGTAGCAATTTTAATCAATAAAACCTTTTGCCTTAAAATTCAGCTGAAATCAAATAAAATGAAAAAAAAAACACTTGAAGATAAATTATTTCCAGTTGAGTTTTATATATACATGTTATGCCAGGAATTCAATTGCCTCGATAAAGGATACCAGAGAAGGGTTGTTTTAATAAATTTACATTTCTAAAAATAGTCAATTTCCTTGAGAACTCATTTTAAAGCAATATAAATGTTACATTGAATAGTTAAAAAAATTAATAAACATTTTTATTTAATAGAAAAATTTTTTATTGAATTATATACGATTGGTTCAACTTCAACTACTTATATAGTAGCCATGTAACATGAAAATATAACTGAAATATTTTAAAAATCTTCGAAGAAACTCGTAATGCGTATACTTTAGTGTATGTAGTATGAGTGAATAGGAAGCTTTTTCCTCATGAGCTTCTCCAAACAAAAAAAAAGAGAAACTTACGATATGCGCGGTTCGCGTGTGCTGCATCTACAGCAAAGAGGCGTGACGCTATTCTTCACCTGTCTTCCAATGCTGCTAATTATTATCGAACATATATAATATTTAGATGGCAGCAGCTTCCAAAAAATTCATAAAAATTTGTGTTTTTCTTTCGGTGTCTCATTCGTTAAATTCAATTCTTATTTTACCTTATTATTCATTGATCTTTATCATCGTCGCTAATTATATAATTATTTTATCATTGTCATGTCATTCAAAAAGTGATTATTTAATTATTACGTTTCTTCTTTACAATTATGACTTTTGTTAATATGGTTACATGAGTGTGAAGTTAGACTGTTATTATTGAATTAATTTTTTCTTGAAGAATAATTGAGTTTACGTCTTGATCTACAAAGATTAGTTCTATTACAAAAAACATAATTACATTTATAACAATAGGGTAAACAATTAAGATAATTATTTTTCATCATAAAAATCTATTGCATTATTAAATATTAATTAAGAGATTGTCTGTTGGTTAATAATTTCACGTAAAAAAAATTAATACTCTTCTAGATCATAACAAATAATTTATCTACGATGAATGATAAATTTATTTATGACTAGTTTATTATTAAAGATACATTTGTGATATTTATTTAAACAATTGTGTCAATAATTATAACCTGTGTAGAATGATTCTTTGAAATAACAAATTCCGAATAATATTACTATTATATCTACGAATATTACATTTAAAATTTACATGACAAAAAAAAATAATCCATCAAATATAAAA